GGTGTACTATTCCTTTAAGTAGATGATTAAGGTAAAATAATAAGTTAGAATGAGTAATACTTGTAGCTCTTGAAACTAATCAGTAGAATTAATCCATTCCCAAATATTTTGTTTGAAATTTACCAAAAATAATAAAAATATCTAAAAAAAAATTATTTGTTAAGCAAATACTAATTTCATTTTGTGAAATAAACCTAAATCATAGTTGTAAAATGGACACAAAAATAACAGTTGAATTTTTAGACATTAATTTTGGTATGTACAACTCAAATAATCACTTAAGTGATTTTCAGAGATTTTATGAAGTTAGTATAGCTATTTATTACTATGATATTTACTAAGCCTGTGAATCATTTCTTTGAGTGTAGGACCAGTTTGATATAACACAATTTCATACAATATATATTATTAGGGGGTCCCCCACTCAATCTCGCCCTCAGTTTTGTCCTTGGCCTGGAAAACGTTGAAGACCCCTGCTATACATGCTTACTATAATGAAATGCTCTTTCAATAATTAAACAAGAAGAGCAGCAAAATCATATAAAGTTTGGATCTTAGCCCATTGGTGATTTGTCCTGTTTTCAAGAAGACACTGAAGGCACCCTATGAGCTCCTTGAGGGCCCCTCGGTGCCCGTGGGCATCATGTTGGTGACCCCAGCACTAGATTATTAATTTGTCCTTCCATCTGTCTCTGCACATGGATGATGCACATTTCCAGCTGTCATTTGTTAAAAGGCAGGATATAGGTTAGCCTGAACAGGGAGCTCATTAATAAAGCAATAAAATACTGGACAAATAATTATACCCACACACTACTTCCTAACTTCCACCGGGAGGCATCAATTAGCCTAAAGGTTATGTTTTTGGACTATGAGAAAAAGCCAGAATGCACATTCAGATTTCACATATGCACAAGAAGATTAACCCTTTTAACAGCCTGGTCAACCAAACGGTTGATCATTTTCATAGGAAAATGCAGGCTGGAGTTGGACAAGGACGTTAAAGTGTTAAGCAAACTATCCAGACATACTTCAGGCTAGAATAGACCTTCAGCAATGCTAGCAACTCTCTTTGAACCCGAGAGGTAACTTTTAAGGTACCTCGTCATAGTTACTTAACTAAAACTGTAACAAAGGATGATTAAAGGACAGAGAATGTAGGAATGGGTTTTATCAAATTAAATTGCATAATCCAGGCTACAAGCCAGTAAAAACCTTTTTCTTTTTTTCTGCAACTAAGGTTATATCCAAATTAAATAAGAAGTAAAACGTAAAAGCAACATAAGCGACCTATGAATAACATTTCTGTCTCCACAGCCACAACCCCACATCAAACCAGCACAAAATACATACCAAATGAAAACAGGGACTGTGCTTCACTTTCCTCTGAACCAAAGCATTGCAGAGAAACAACAACAGTAAAACAAAACCAACAGATTAAACTAATTAAAACTCGTGTCTGAGCCAAAAACGAGTTTTAAATATATTCTTATCTTTGCTGTTTTACCAAATTTATTAAAATAGACCTTTTGGTTGCAGAGATACACTGATTTTGATTGGAGTGTGTGATTTTTAGAAAAATTTGAAAGTTTAAATGGTTTTAAGTGTCCTTATAGGTGCAACTTTAAATAGTATTAGTTTACAGTGTGTAATATAGTTTAGAAAAGAAAAATATACTTACCAAACATATCTTTTTAGGTAGACACATGCAAAGCTGTAGCCCTGCCTTCAGAAATGCTCTAATTCTCTATTATGCTCTATTATACAACAATAGGTAGATTATGGCATAAAAAATATATCCTCCTTTGGGACTTAAGCCCCCAAAGAAAAACTCCCCCATATTATAAAATTCCTAAATCTAATGCAAAACCATTATGCCGATACTGAGTGAATTCATGCCAACGCTACAGTTTGACTTAATCAATTAAAAATTGCACTCGAAAAAAAAGACTGGTCAATCAAGCTGAGGTTTTTCTAATCCATGTTTGAGTTTCTGGGAGCCTGCGGGAAATCTGGCCTGTTTCTTGATTTCAGCCAACTTAACCAGGCGATGGTTGTATGTGAATAGGATCCTAGTTCATCAAGATGATGTAAAATCTACATACCTAAGCTGTCTAATACAACCACATCATGTTTTAAGCCACTGTCTTCCCCATTTTAGATGCTCAGTATGAACTCCAGAAAACTTGTCTTCATTACGTGTACATAAAAACCAGTTACAGCAGTTGTTTAGTTATATGGAAGTCTTTATGAGTAGATCTTTCTCAGTTAGTATCCTGATGAATTACCTGTGTTGAAAATGTAATGCTGATAAACTAACTGTAGTATAACTACTTGTGAAATAGTATTTGGTTTCGCCATGAGTTGCTGCTAGCTCCATACTCCTGAAATAAAATAATTGCTTCAAACAGGGGTCACCACAACATGGCTGATACAAACATGGGAAATATTGCTCCTCTGTTTATCCCCAAGCTGTATAAAAAAAATGGAAATAATCTTATTTAAAATAAAATAAAAATGATGCAAACCCAAAATATTTTACTATTTTAAATAATGACGCCGATAGATGATGGTTACTTTTACAACTGGAGACCAAAAATAATGCATTGCTAAGAAATGCAGCTTACAGCCGATACTGGAAATAGACATAGACAATATAAAAAGACAATTTTTCATTAGTTAGGTCATTAGTTACAAAACCTCTTCCAGTTATTATAAGGAGAAAGATTAAAGTTTGACCATTTTACTTTCTTTATATTCAGGTTTACATAAATAGGAAGAATCCAATAGGTTTAATGATAACATTTAGATGTTTTACAGAAACCTTAAATATAATACAGAAGGTCCAATAAAATCAGACAAGATATCAGATTTATTGACTTGCACAAGTCTGGTTCATCCTCAGGTGCAATTTCCAAATGCCTGAAAGTTCTATGTTCATCTGTTCCAACAAATATATGCATGAAATAGAGGGTATTTCTTTTTATGCAGTATAGAAAACGTCTGGTTTCAACTTTACATCATGGTTATTTACTGATTTCATCTTAAACTTTTGGGATGTTAATTTTAAAGCATCTTTATGACTGAAATAAAAACACAGAAATATCCCAGATCAAAAGATTTTTTAATGACTTTTTACATTTATAAATTTACATTCATATTAGCATGATGTAATTTGGTAAAGTAAACACTGTCAAGTGTCTTTTTTTTGTTTGCCATTCTTATACTTTATATTGTCAGACTGCAAAAAAAAAATCTAGCTTCAGTTTTATTTAGGTTTGCTGAATCCTTCTGTATGGATTTTATTTAAGATTTTTTACAGAACATTCAAAACTAAAACGGAAGCAACATTGTCACCTGTTAACTGAAAGGGAGCAAAAACAAAAAAAAACAAAAATGCAATTTGTGACATAAAAGGACTGAACACCCAGAGAAGCGACAGAATATACATTTATAAAAGCACATTCATATCAACATGTGATGCTTTGGAATGAAAATAGTGGCGGCTCACTGTGATCAATTAACAAAAGTCCCATTTGTGCCCCAAACCTTCCAATAAGAAAAGTGACTTTCACCTCACCTGACTGCTTTCATAAAATGCTATAATAAATAAGAAAAAAAATATATCTGATTGGTCCATGAGGTAAAATGTAAATGGAAGCAGAGTTGGAAAGATATAACAAACGAATGATAATCAGCAACAGAGCCAGAAGGCCAATAAAGCTGCATTATTTGTTACCATACAGACAAAAATCACACAGTCCAGCTTGAGGTTTGATAACAAAATAATCCCCCAAACTGGAATCTTTACAAAGCCGGTTGATGGATGATATTCAAAAATTTACACAGAAGTTATATTCCAACAGTTCAATACAGAGTAAGACCCCCCTCATCAAAGCAAAACAGATCAACACTTTTAACTCTTAATCCTTTACTAACTTTGTGCTAAAGGTGGGTGGAGCTTAAAGGATAAAAAAGCCTGGATCAAAACAACATGGAGGATGATGATAGAGAAGCTTAAAATCTGTCACTGAGTACAATCATACTGGCACCATCTTTCCTTTTCTTGCTACAACAAAAAAGCACTTCAATAAAAAAAAAAAAAAAAAACAGCTCATTCAGGCGTCACTGGTTTGGAATCACACTCACCCGCCTGTTGTTCTTGTTGCTGAGAGGTTTGGTTCAGAAGGGCATGCATTATGCTACACAGTGTACACTGAAAAGGTAGAATTCAAAGAGCACTTCAAATAAATCAGACTGTCTGACTGAATTTATGTGCAGAAACTCCCAAAACATGTTTGAATGCAGCACATGTTTTAATATTCTCTCTATTAGGTGTAAAGCAGCACGGGTAGTGTTCAGCAGGTCAATTGTCTGACTTTGCAGCTTGAGAAAATTCACCCAAAACAGCAGCAAGGAAAAAATAATAAAAAAAAGGAAATATTTAAAGTTTTATTTAATCTTTTTCAGTTTTCTCAATCAATGTCTGTGTTTGGCATATTTTCCATTATCTGAGGCAACAAGTCTAAACTGTAAACTTTCACTTCGGCTGCAAAGCTAAACAGTTACCAGACATGATCGCTTTCATTTGCCAGTGAATTATAAGACTGGCTGCAAATGTGCAAAGCACTTTTTTTTCTGACAGATATAAACCAAACTTTTTTTCCCCCCCTCAAGTGTTAATCCCTCAAATCAATTTTTTATAAGGCTTTTAGCCTAATTTTTATCTACTCCTCCATCCGAATGTTTGCAGCACCACTCAGGCAGTCACACAGGTAGGCGGAGCTTAAAACCCCCCCTGCAATGTTTATTAAACTCTCTGCAAGAACAAGAGTCGGAATATTTTTTCATTACAGTGAGAGGTGAGGTCTTTTCTAAAGCTGGGGAAACACCAGCGAGTAAAGAAGGAAGTTGTAGAGAGGACACCTCTCAGAGGCTCAGTGGCCTTAATGGCCCAATGTGGGCTCTGCCCTGTCTATTCTGGCCCGCTCAAACACTTGTTTGGTTGGGCCAAATCCAGTCCAGTGCGGTCCGGTCTGGTTTGGTAGTGGTCAAGGCCAGGGTTTTAGAAGAGAGCTTTGGATCCTTGGTTTTCAAACTCTGACCAGGCGTCGTTCAGCTCCATGAAGATCATCTTAGCGTACTGTTCGTAAGGCTGACCTGTAGCCTGCATGGTCAAACACAATATTAACAACTGATAATCTCAGCACTGGACTCTAAGACATGCAGGATTGTGAAGCTGTACCTTATCTGGATGGACGACCAACGCAGCCTTTCTGTAGTATTTCTTCACCTGGTCAGGTGTCACAAGGTCAGCCATGCCCACAGGCTTCCAGCGAGTTTCCCCCTCCCACAGAACTGTATGCAGAGTTGAAAGCAGTGCTCTTATGTTCCGCTCCTTCCCCTCGATCCACTCAAGAAGCTAAGTAGTAATGAGGAAACAAAATGTAGAATGTGTACGGTCAGTGTGGTCTAAATGTCCTCATACTCCTCTGGATTTAAAGGAGAAGTTCGGTTTTTAACACTTTTAGCCCATTTTCTGTAGTGTCCAGGATGAAATCGAATGATCAACACCAAAATTTTGACAATTGGTCCTGTCTCTGCTTTTTGGCTCATTTAGAATCCACCCCTGGCTGCTTTAGAATGGCTTCCATAGAGCATGTCCGATAATGTACTTAAAACAACCTTAAACGTTCTTTTTTTTAAATATGCTACTCACCGGGTCGTCAGCGCTGTTCAATGATGTTCCAAAAAAAGTTACGTGAAGAAAAAACGTTCCTGTAGTGTTTTATTTAGCATTTTGTAAATCCCATTGAGTTCTGTTGGAATAGTCAATATTCCCCTGCCACCGGAAACGGAAATGGGGCCTGTTTACACAGTTGTAGTCTTTTCGCTTCACTCTGTGTACTCCGACGTCGAGGTGCTAACGTCTCTGTTAAACACTTTAAAAAACTCTGAAAATGGAATACGAAAGGTGGATTCTTGATTCTCGACGTCGGAGTACACAGAGTGAAGCGAAAAGACTACAACTGTTTAAACAGGCCCCATTTCCGTTTCCGGTGGCAGCGGAATATTGACTATTCCTACAGAACTCAATGGGATTTACAAAATGCTAAATAAAACACTACAGGAACGTTTTTTCTTTACGAAACTTTTTTTGGAACATCATTGAACAGCGCTGACGACCCGGTGAGTAGCATATTTAAAAAAAAGAACGTTTAAGGTTGTTTTAAGGACATTATCGGACATGCTCTGTGGAAGCCATTCTAAAGCAGCCAGGGGTGGATTCTAAATGAGCCAAAAAGCAGAGACAGGACCAATTGTCAAAATTTTGGTGTCGATCATTCGATTTCATCCTGGACACTACAGAAAATGGGCTAAAAGTGTTAAAAACCGAACTTCTCCTTTAACATTTCATGAAACCAATGAACACCAGAAGTCGCCAAATTATTAAAAGTGCATCCAAGTGTAAATTTTGCTGCTCTGGCAAAGCCAGTTTTCTTTTTTTTTTAAAGCTTTAGTGAACATAAAAATAAAAAAATCCTGTTATGTTACTGTTATCTGGCTGAGCTGAGAATCTTGGGGCAAAGACTCATTTCTGTAGATGTGTGAAGCTGGTAGAGATTTACCATCAACAAAAATGAGGGAAAGTAAAGATTCATTACTAATCCCTCCACATCCATGAACATGTTTAAGATTTGGCTCTTGCAAGATACTGTAAGCTTTTGATGTGAGCTGTATGCTTTTCATTTTTCATAAAAATTAACACCATGTGGGTTTTTGTGGGTCATGTCTGAGGTACCTGCAATTTAAGGGGATCCATGTCCTTTGCAATCTCCTGCTTCCTCATTTCAGCGATGGTCCTTGGTCCCCTTTTATCAGGCTTGGATGCAAAACCCTGAGTGGACAGGAGTTCCTCAAAATCATCCTCTTTCACCTTTGGTTTGGGGCCTAGGGTAAAACAATGACAAAGTTTAGATCTAAAATCAACTTAAACAAAGTATGTTTGAAATAAAAATACTCAAATCCGTTCTCTACATTAAGATCATCTTACCAAATCCAGGCCCGCGGACTCCCCTCTCCTCCCTCCCACCGATGACACTAGAGAAATTAAGGTTGTAGTTGGGTTTAGAGGGCTGAGTGGCTGCAGGCTGAGATGCTGAAGCTCCTTTAGGGGTTGATCCAGGTCCAGACATCCAAGGTTTGGTCTGAGCAGATGCAGGACGTCCAGACTTCCAGGCCTGGGTTTGAGGCTTCGCGGAGGAAGGGGTGGTGGAAGATGGAGTCTTTGTGCTAAAAGAAGCCCCTGAAAAGTTACAGCTTGAAGAGCCTACAAGAAAAAAAAATACATTTTCTCTATTAATTTAAACAGTTCAAGTGGATATTTTTTAAATGATAAGGTCAGTTCTTATAAATCAGCATGCTGCAAGGTAGTAGGAGGAAATATACCTGGTAAGTTGGAGCTCAGGGTTCCAAGGTCTGCAAAAGGATCGAATGTCTGAGACTTGGCCTTCGACATGGACGACGTACCAGTGGCTGCAAAAGCAAAGAAAATACAGCAGGTCAAAGATGACATGTTGGAAAAAATACAAATTAATTAATGGGAGGTTTCTGACCCACCTGTGTTTGTAAAACTGGGTTTGTTGGTGGTGTTACTGAGGCCGGCTGTGGTACGAGCAGCCCAGCTGTCCCACCCACTCAGCAGGTCCGGCTGGCTGGCCGAGGACGTCATCTTAGGGACATCTTTTGCTATCCTGTCTGTGAAGACAAAGTGACTCCGGTTCAGCAACTTAGCAAGATGCAGTTGCCTATTTATTTGAGTCTGCATCTAAGTAGAACAGATTTCACATTTTGACATGTACACTTCACAAACACCAGTTTATCCCAGTGCGATCTTATGTGATAAAAAGAAAACAAAACATTGCTTAACTTATGAACAAATACAAATCCTTCTGTTTCACAGTTTTGCACCAATTTATGGATAATTAATGGATTGACTATGCAATGCGACAACATGGGACCAAACAAAGAAAAGGGGGTAGACAGCTGATAGGAGACTTACTAAGGTTAAAAAGGCTGGTGTTTGATGCAGGCGTGGTGGTACTATTAGCTGAGCTGAATCCGCTGGTTGCTGAACTATCAGAGCCCAACAAGTCTCCAAACAGGTCGGCCCCTGAAGCCTGGCGTGAAGAGCCGATGCTGGAACCAACACCGGAGCCGGGTCCCATCCCGAATGGGTCAAACAGGTCGCCCATGGCTACAGTACATTAAGAATCACATAACATTTATATCATACGTAAACGCTTTGAGAGCATGTGTAACTCCCAGTCCTCACGTTTTGAATCAGGTGTGGCTCCACTGGTGGCCTCACTGAAGAACAGGTCTTCCTGCACTACTCTGGTCTGACCAGCAGGGGGTGCAAACAAGTCGTTGAGAAGATCACTGTTGCTGGAGGCAGCTTTCAATCCTGCCTGCCCCCCTTGATTAGAGGCACCAGAGGAGACTGAAGACATGTCAGGAGGTTGAGGGTCCGAATTCAAGCCAAGGAGGTCAGCTGTGTCGCTACGAGTAGATTCCTGGGGTGCAGGGGAGGGTGTCTGGTGGGAAAAATAAGATAAAATAGTCAAAATAGTCTACTTCAGCATAAGGACATAATTATTATATTTGACCCACCTGAAAATCAGCATCTAACAGTTGTTCACTGTGGTCGAGGGATAAAGCTTCCCCACTGGGAGCAGAGTAAGACTCTCCCTCTGATTGATCACTAAAATCTTCCTGATCATTCAGGGATCCTCCTCCTATGCTGTCTGTAGCATCCCGAGGACTCTGAGCATCTATTTTTACAAGGGGAAAATCATAGCAAATGTAATAAGCTTTAAGTGTCAAAGTACATTGAATTCAAGGAAAAGGTTTGGTTATATAACATTTGAAATGTGTAATCATTTAGACAAAGACATGAAAAGCTTAAAGTTCTTCTTTAAAACAAAAATAAGACATAATATTAACATTGGCTACAACTTTAGATAATTTTAAAGAGAATATAATAAAGAAAATGTACCTTCCCAATCTAGAGTCTGAAAGAAGTTGCTAGGGTTACCATCGCTGCTGTCAGGGGTTTCCGATTCAGTTGTGTTGGGGCCATCTGGTGTCTGAGCTGGTGGAAGCGACTCTGACTCATAAAAAGCAGAAGATCCAGGCTGGCGAGGGAGCTCAGGTTTACCTGTGGTTATTAGACAAAGAAATGAAACTGGTTTTACATGTGCAATTTGGTGCTTCTCTCTGTGAAAGTCTGATTTCATTTCATCTCGCAAAATTTTTTTTGACAATATTTGTTTGAAAATGAAAAAAAATATATACATTGGCACTATATGAACACAGAGAGAATTAAAGAAGCTGGTTTTTTTTTTTACTTTGAAGATACAGATACGCGAAAAACAGCACTTAGGTCCCGGTGGTTCTGAGTTCAACTCCCAGAGACTGCCACTCTGGGTCCCTGAGTAAGACCCTAAACCCAACACTGCTCCCTGTGCGCTGCACAATGGCAGCCTACTGCTCTCCAAGGGGATGGGTTAATGCAGAGGTAAATTTCTCCGGTGTGAGATCAATAAAGTTCAATTATTTTTATTATATTAAATGTAAAAAAAATTGTCATTTAACTCATACAGAATGCATTCATTACATAAAGGGACTTTTGTCACTGAAGAGCGTGATTTAAGAAGCTGAGCGTTTAGTATCCAAGCACATTCAGAAGAGAAGTGTAAAAGGAAAATGTGCTGAGAGTATTCATGAGCAAAATCCGGTAAAGTGTTTGGGGACTGTAAGGCTGGAGTCAACACACCAAGAACCAGTAGACACAGACGGATACTAGGCATGGTCTATATACATCTAGCCTGACCTAAGGAAGAAAAGAACAAAACTGTTACCCAATGATCAAAAGTCCTATTTCCAGATCAAAGTAAAGTCTGCATTTCATTTGGAAATCAAGATGCCGTGTTATCTGCTGAAGTCCAGCTAACGCAGCAATCTACCAGGCAATTTTAGAGCATGCATGCCTCCTGTTACTGGCAAGTTTTATGAAGATGCTGATTTCATTGCCTAGTAGGACTTAGCACTGGCTGCCCATAGGTTCCATCATCTGGTTCAAGGACCGTGATGTTACTGTGCTCGACTGGCTAGCAAAGCAATCTGGGCTCTTATTACCCCTCAGCAGAGCCACAGACTAATCCCATCCATGCCACACTGCAATCATGCAGCCATTTATGCAAAAAGAGGCTCATCAAAGTTAAAGTGCATAAAATGAACATCATTCTATTAGCACTCCTTATTCAGCTTCAACCATAAACGAAGCATTTTGCATCTAGATCAGAAAGTTTGTTTAATCTGTCCAGAGAAGCTTCTTCCACATGTTGACGATTTCTCCAATCGTTACTTATGGCTAAATTAAAGGAAGTATAAAACACCGTCTTTCAACAATTTCCTTTTTTTGGGGGGGATACAGGATATTTGATAAGGGTGAGTAATGGTTGTCCTTTTAACTGGTTCTACCACCGGAATAGTGACTCACACCCACTTCCTCAGGAGTACCAGAGCCCTATTGGCTGCTGCTCAGGTTAAGGCTTCTCTTGCGTGCTCTCTCTGTTTAGGTGGACAGCCATGTCTTTGTAGGCTTGCAGCTGTAACTTACTTGTTTGATCACAGATTCAACTCTGGGATGTTCAAAGGGTTTACAGAGCAGCCTTTGGATTAGACCTGGGATATTAGCTGTAATGTAATCATTACTTGACCAAATGCAATTTTCAAATCCCAGAGGTGCTCAGTTTTGATCAGATTACATTTAAAAAGAGTACAATAGCCCTTTAGGTGTCAGTAATACACTAAAAAAGGGTTTCTCACCGCACAGAATGGAAAATAGCTGCAGCTAGAATGTAGATCAATACATGGGAAAAAAGTTGGCACTTAACCACTCAACAATAGACTCTTATGAATAAACTGAATTAATTTGCAAGTCACCTCAAACACCATAAGCTAATCAAATTCAATAAACCTACCAAATTTGCTCAGGATTTCCTGCTGCTCATCGCGAGACGAGAAGAGTATTTTTGGGTTTAGCCCCTTGGTTTGGAAGCCCTCCCATGGTGGGGTCTTGGTGATGGGTCTGTCTCTAGGTTCCACCTCAATGTCCAAATTAACCTGGAACAAGTCTGGGTATTTTTCCTGAATGTCACAGGCGTCCAAATCATACCTGACAGGAAAAAAAAACCCAGATACATAAGAGAGAAAAAAGGAAAGATAATAGAAAAACATCTTAAAGTCTCTCCTGCAAATATCTAGTATTTATTATTTAAGCATCATTATTATTCCAGTTTGCCATTGTATTTGTTGGCTGACAGTATACCTACTTTGCAAACTTGACAGTAGTTGCATTTCTTGGGATAAAACCTGTATGAAACTGGATCTGGAACATTTTCATTGAAGCCATCTGAAAAAAAAAGGAGAAATGAGAGTCTCTGAAATCCTTTTGCAAAGGAATTTTCACCTAGATATCAAAGCGCTGTCTAAATTAAAGAGCACAGTTACTGTTCCTCAAATAAAATAAAAACAAAGACGGAGGAACATGTGGTAGTTTCTGTACCTTTGCCTGGAGACGGCCACCCAGTGTAGACCTTGCGTGATAGATCACCACCAGTACATCTCCCTGAACTGTAACATTGAGGGGAATCTCTGCTCTGCCATCTTCCATCTTAAAATCCCTGAAAATAAAGAGAGATAAAGTATCTGCATATTAAAGATATGTTTTTAACACTGCTAAACCCACTGATCACTGTTTATTCACTGGATTGCTGATAGGCCTATGGTAGTACATGGTGCTGTGAAGTCACCAGCCGCCATATTGGTACTCCCTAGTTAGACCTGTCGGAATGTAAACAATATTTGCGCTACAGCATCGAACAACAATGATGTTCTCATTTTCAGGGGGGCTTAAGACTTTTAAAATAAAGATAAAGTCATCACTTTGACACACACTTGCTGTTTCATAGCATCAGTAGATTACTGTAATTTATGGTAAAAAATAGGCACATCACATTGCGTAATCAGTATGAAGTCTGTAAATCATGTAATATAACATATTATACAACTTATCACAACAAAACTAGAGTCTTAATGGAGCATAATACTGTAGTCAGATTTTAATAATATTACACACACTCTCTGATGATGTGCCAAAAATGCTAAATTAATGATGTACATGTAATATATATGTATTGATTACATTTTTATGGTAATTACATTACAGAATTTTTTTTATGGCACGACTCAGTGAGAATAAGGAGTACCAATATAGCGGCAGGTGACTTTAGTTTCTTCGGCCTATCAACAATCTAGTCAATAAATGCAGATCAGTGGTTAAACAGGACAAAAACCTTCCAGGACAAACATACTTCATCCGGTCATACTCCTGCGAGGTGGTGAGGACCCTCTCGTCTCCGACATAGACCTCACAGAACGGCCTACACCCGTTGCGCTGCTTGTTGAACAGTGGCACTGGAGTCATGATGATGGAATGAATGACTACTGGTTTGCAATGGGGGATTATGGGCTCTTCTGCCATCATGTCGCACATATACTCAATGTACCTGAGAATGAAAAGCAACACTTAGAGGACAGCATTTTCCTGTGAAATGGCATATTTCATTCTATAAAACTAAACAATTTAAGAGCAAACCCACAAATCGAAGTCAACATTTCGCTCAAACTGGGTTTCTACCTCTTGTGTGAAGGAGAAATTCCTGGAGGGCAGCGCTTCATGGAGAACATGTAGACTGCAGCCTCAGCTGTGGTGAAAAGGCGACAGAAACATAGGAAGGAGCAAACTGCCACTGCTGATGCAGCACGACCATCCTACAGAGAAAAAAAACAAAAACAAATAAAATTAACATAAATTAAAAAAAAACCTGCAGCTGGCTCAGCATTGTTACATATAATATACAGAAATCAAATCTTTGATGAGTTTAGTCACGTGGATAATTAGGGATGTGGATCTCAGTGGATTAAAGGAAGATGGAGATGTGACTACAACCTGATTCATTAACATGCTAAGGCAAATTCCCATTAAACATGATATTACTTATAGGGATGTAACGATAACAAAATCTCACAGTACAATACAATTTCGATATTGACCTCACGGTAAAATATTTATTGCGATATTGTGGAAAAGCTCACAGTACTGTTAAATAGCTCACGATAGTGTTTGTGATTATAGCAAAAAAAATACTTTTAAAAATATTTTTTTCTGCTTTTGCCAGTCAACAGGCAATTTATTGTTGTATTTATGGCTCATTACAACATAAAACGCTGATCACATAGTGCTTTTGAAGTGCAAGTTGTAGTCAGGAACATCAATATTCTATTGATTCTTCTGTGCAATGTTCAAGTTAAGAAGCAACCAGAACAATTGTAAACAATAGGGAATTCCCTTTAAGTGCAAACAAAATATCAAGTTAAGTCAGGTTTAAATGTGCAAGGCAAGTAAAAGCAGCCTTTTAAAACTGGTATATAGGAACAGAACTTCAACTTAAATAAAATAGTCAGTCAAAAAGCCTTAAAAAAAAAAAAAACACTGACCTATCGCAGTTTGCTGTGGCAGTGCTTGCATATAGTCCATTGTCTGTCCACCACCTTCTCTCCTTTTGCGTTTTTTGACACGGCGAAACCGAAATGTTTCCAGACATCTGACTTAAAAGCTGCAGGGGCTGGCACAATCTCAACTTCGGGGTTGTTGTTTTCATCCTAACAACTATCGCTGTCGGCCATGCTAGCTTGCTTTGAGCTTGTGTGGACAGCGTGCAATCCGGTTGCAATCTTATTGGCTTAAGAGCGGTTGGTATAACGACGCAGCGCAAAGGATCATGTTATATGAAGTTAACAATGATTTGTTCCGCGGGACTGTGTTTAATCCTCTTGCTTTTTAACGGAGACCTGTCCTTTTATTATTGTAACCCAACCACGACGATATCGAGACACGTTTACCACCGCGATAGCGCGATAATGTCAATATCATTACATCCCTAATTACTTACGCCTTTTGTTTTGCATTCAAGGTTGAGAAACATACAAGCTGCTGTGATCTTTATTGTGCAAATCTGATAGAGACTAATGTTTTAGCAAGTCTTGATCTGTATAAGAACATGAAAAAAAAAAAACATTAACACTAAAGCTACAACATCAAATTTTAGATTTATCTGATAATTATAGGACTATAAAGTTAAGATAATTGCAGTTATACACACACTAATGAAAACACATGTTATCTTATAAATTGTGTTATTTAAAACCAGCTGAGTTAAACTAGGGTATTTTATCTCAACTCAGTTTTAATAGGTATAATTTCCAGTAATGATTTATCAGATTGTTTTATCAGGTCTGTAATTAAACCGCTGACATGGGTTACACCATGTTCTTATTTTTGTTAAAACGGCTCCAAATGTACATAGATTTAAGTGATTTTAAGGTTGCTGTTTTTTTTTTTTTTTTTGTTTACACAATTTTCTTAAAATTCTTTCTCGATGTCTTAGTTGCTATAATTAAAAGACAGAACAATAGTGAAACATATTTGGATACAGCAGAAGCTCAGATCTGATTTAAAGAATAAAACGTCAATCTTTCCCCTAATTTGTGAGGGTAAATGTTGGACTCGCCTACTTACCAGACAGTGTACTATACAGATGTTCCTCTGGTCCTGTTTGAGCCACTGATGCATGTTCCTGCATACGCTGTAGAGACTGCGAAGGTTGGGGGCACGGCGCACCTGCCAGTTACACTCTGAAACCTGGAAAGAGGAGACAAAGAGTGAAATGAGCAGACAAATGGAAAAACAAACCCTACAAATACAGCCGTAATTGTCCGATCAAACATCTACAATCATTTAGGACCATCAGGTCACATTAAAACACCCCTGAACCAATTATGCAGGTTTCTTACCCTGTTGTGGAAACGAGAAGGCCTGTATGATCGTCTGGAGAGGTTGTAAACAGCGTAATGGCCGGCATGCCGTGAATCCAGGAAAAGACGGACTTCCTCAATGTTGTTCTTGATTGCAGATTCCACCCCTTCTGCTGGGAAAGACATCACTGCAAACACAAAAAAACTCATTAAAATTTTGAATAAAGAAATACTGCTCTGTCTTAATGTAAAACACTTTAACTAAATGGCATCCAGCTGAGGTTATAAACGGTATGATAACAGAACACAATCGCTTTTGTAAAACACATCAAAAAGTTAAATAGCAATTATCTACCTGCTATTCTGGAGGTGATGTAAGAAATGTCCAAGTCTCCTTTCGCATAGCTGCAAAGACAAAAAATTTGACTTACAAAAATGAAGAGTACATAAGAGAGGACTGGTCTGTATAGGGAAATGATTTCTGATATTAAAGCCAAATTGCTTGACTGATGCCAACAATAATGAAATCAATCATTTAGCAGCTCACCTAACCAATGACAAACAAAAATTTATCCAAAGCCAGAAGCAAAATCAACTGTTTTGCAAAAAACAAAACATTACCCCAGTTTTTAAGCCCTCCCAACAAATTAAAGCAGCTTTGATTTGTACAATTTCTCCTTCATGTTTATAGAAAATTTTCAGGGCTCTGTCATTATTTTCCTGAGAATTTATATACCAAACAAACAGAGAAAAGCGTTTTCTATTACATAAAACACCAGACTAAAAGACAGTTTTACAAAAACACAGCAACACAATAAAAGCTTAATGATTTGGAAATAAAAGGTAATGGAGTTGTCTATTCCGGCTAGAATGAATATGACGCTACGAGGACACAGAGGGGATGCCGGTTAAAGGACACATGGACATGAAACGTTTGCTTAGTTAGCAAAGGAGTCAAAGAAACCTTTAGTTGCAGTTTCTCCATTTGCTCATTCAACCAGAAAACATTCATGATCTATGGACACTGAGTTACATCCCGATTTTGCACTTGGGTGGAAAGTAAATTTAACAATCTTGTTAAATTTGATAAAAGATCTATCAATGACAGACATTCCTCCCAATTACTAATTTCTACATCTTTGAATTCCCATGTTTATCAATACCTCTTTATACTTTCTTCTTAAAGACACAGTGCAGACTTTGTGACCTAAAGAGCTGATGCATACAAGTTATTTTAAATGATTCCCCCGGTCAATATTTATGGAGGTTGATCGGTCTCAATTTTCACAAATACACATATGTGATTCATATATGCACAGGACATGATCCACACATGCACAGCACGATTCACACAACCACAAAAAAAATCCACACACACAGCTGGAGTCACGCAGGCACATAAGATCCACACATGCAGAGAACAAGATTCGCCAAGGTATTTCTGGTCCATAAAGAGTTATAAATTAATTGACTAAGTACCGGTGGTCTTTAAACTTTACTAAATTTGTGTGTGGATTTTTTAGGCTGCCCTGACGTAGCCTGACGTAGTCCTACTCAATTCTAGTCAGAATATGAGTCTGATACTGCTCCATAGAGCTGTGATTATAGGGGCGTGTTTCGAACGAACCAGGAAAAAAAAATGCCTCTGCACTCAATTGGATAGACCTACAACCAATAAGAGCAACGGAGTGCGTGACGTATGTTAAGCCAGGCATAGTTGTTGTCAACAAAAATCAAAGCGTGCAGTTGCACGCCTAGAATAAGAAGATGAGCCTTGATCGCGTTTCTCTGTTGCTCTTTTAAAATTAATTTGCTGTCGATATCTTCTAGAACAGACCTAATGGCAGAATCTACTCACCCAAACTCTCCAGCGGCAGCCATTATTGTTGTCACCCAAGCGCGCTTTGGTCCCGTGGTTGATTACGTTACTGTTGATCATCCGTCCATCATCGTATAAAGCCCGCCCTGACAATTTGATTGGCCCGCCAGATATTGTGCCAGCATACTCGTGCTACTACTGAGCAATGCCAGACCGAACTTCCTGACCTCAAACGTTGTGGGCGGGACTAAGTTCGGAATGGCACCCAGGCTAGCCCTGACGTGCCTTGATACACAAATTAATTATTTTAAATACGGAATGGTTTGCCACCAAGCATAAAGCTCCCTTGTATAAGCAAGAAAGTACTCCACGAGGGACGACTTACGCCCAGATAAGATCTTGTTCTGTGTGTGTGTGTGGATCTTGCCCTGTGCATGTATAAGTCACATATGTGTATTTTTGAAAATTGAGACAGATCTAACTCCATATATATATATATATATATATATATATATATATATATATATATATATATATATATATATATATGCAGCGCTCGACACTGCCAATGCTAGGAGTGGGGCTCCCCTCTTGAAATACCAACCATTGGAGTTGGGAGAAAACAGACCGTCACCGACCAGGTCATGTGACTTGGAAGAACGTATCACTGTAAGGTCACAGGCTCTTATATAGTCAGCCTTATAGAACTAAGGCTTCTGCTCTATCATTTTTCTGCCTGCTTGACTACTGGTCATGGCTGACACAAGGAATAAGTTTAAAACTTCTGAGGAGGCTAAAAAGAGAAAACATGAAAGGGATTGAACAGAGGAAAAACAAAAGACAATCATGGAAAAGAGTTTGCTTGTTGGCTAAGGCTTAAAGAAGGAGCCAGATGAAAAACCATTTCTGTTTTTTCAACTGTATTATTAGACTGGTGAGTTAACACTTTGCTCCTAGTATACAGTCATAGATCTTTATTATTATTTTTGATGTTTAGTAGAAACAAAATACGGGCAGTTATAGGTCTAATGCCCCTAGTGGTCAAAAGTTAAAGGAATAGTACACTCAAAACATGATAAGCCTTCATTTTCTACTCATCCCCATGCTGAACAACACTCTGGAGTACTTTTTTGATATCTCAAATGCATCTGGAGATCTGGGAGGCTTCTTGCTGTCTGCTGACATTCAAATAATGGAGGTCTATTGTGCCCGAGACAGAAAGGTCCATAAAAGTCCACAAAAAACGTGTCAATATTCCTCCATACTGCTCGTCCAATGTATTCCAAGTGTCCTGAGTGGGTAGCATCCAGAATTTACTCGAAACGAAGTCATTTAGAATGTTTTTAGAGCATAAACAGTAGTGTATAGGATTTCCTGAAAGCGCGCGCCGGCGCGTTCATGACGCTACGGAAACCGCGGCAGACCAAGCCAGATGAAAGTGCGCATTCAGCTCGGCAAAGAACTCATGCTCTTCCTCAACACTGAAGTCCTCAGACATTTTTCTTTCGTTGTTTCTTTTTTTGCACAGGTAAACAGCACATTTCTTCTTCTACGCTTGCATTATCGTCAGAGCAGACGCTGAATGCGCACTTTCATCTGGTTTGGTCTGCCGGCTTCCGTAGCGTCATGAACGCGCCGGCGCGCGCTTTCAGGAAATCCTATACACTACTGTTTATGCTCTAAAAACATTCTAAATGACTTCGTTTCGAGTAAATTCTGGATGCTACCCACTCAGGACACTTGTAATACATTGGACGAGCAGTATGGAGGAATATTGACACGTTTGTGTAGACTTTTATGGACCTTTCTGACTCGGGCACCATAGACCTCCGTTATTTGAATGTCAGCAGACAGCAAGAAGCCTCCCAGATCTCCAGATGCATTTGAGATATCAAAAAAGTACTCCAGAGTGTTGTTCAGCATGGGGGTGAGTAGAAAATGAAGGCTAATCATCTTTTGGGTGTACTATTCCTTTAAACGGTGTGCCTTTAAATTAATGCAAACTCTAAAATCCTTCTTCATTTCTCCTTTTAATTTCCCAATTAGTCCAAAGGTAAGTCATATTATATCTTTACTATAATATTGTGAAAAAAAATCCATATTCATGATGATTATAAACTAATAACAGCTCTGGATTTCACTCTTCGAATTACAGAGTGATGAAAACCAGATATTATATCTCCACATGCAGCAGTTGAATAATTGTTCAGGAAATAATCCCCAAATCTTTTTCCCAACATATGAACACACTTAAATACGTGTTTTATGTTTTAACCATTTGAACTTTTAAATCCACAAAACAAGCAGGATTTGAAAACAGTAGGCTTTTGGAGATAATTATGCTAAAGCCCAAGATTGTGTTTTGATAAGATATCACCGCAGATCCAAATATTAATATTTATAATTAATTTAAAGAATTAAAATACATTGCTAATTTAAAAGTAAAAGTTATTTTAGTAATTGCCCTTTTAATTTGGAGAAAATAAGTAATTTTTTGATAAAAAATATCTTATCACACAGGTTGTTAATTAAAACCACATTTTTGTTTTCCAATTATTTAACCCCACCTGGCCAGCAACATCTCACTCATGCATTCATTCAGCTGAATTATTGAGCGTGTTATGTTAGAATCACAAAGCTGAGATGACCACAGAACAGCTGAAGCTTTAGTCAAGCTTTTAATCTATACGTCAAACAACATGCTTTAGGACACAAACAGCAATGCATGAGATGGCAAACTTCACCAGAGCCCATATTTACCTCGGGTTGCTAGGAGATGTACACAAAGTGGAACCATGAGGGATTGGGATAGAGAAAAGAAACAACACAAAATAATAATAAACAAAAACAACCACATGAATGGAGCAAACAGATGTGAGAAACTGAAAGAAACAACGGTATAAAAAGTGTGGGGATCAGCTGGTAAAGCAGCACTGTGTAACTTTTAGCCACTAATGGGTACAAGGCCGCAGGCAGCACTGCTCTACCGCAAAATTCAACAGTCCCCTCCAAAACGTACATGATGCTGCATTGAAGAAAGTGCTTTTTTTTTTTTAAATCTAAGCATTAGCATGGTCATCTGCTACTGCCACAATGCTGTATATCAAAAATCAAAAATAGATGACTAGAAACAAAATGTCCTTTAAAAATACATTTGGGTCAAATAATAGGAGTGACTGTAAAGACTGACTTATTACCAACAAAATCTGCAACAAAGAGAATCAAATATTGGATCAGAGTCATTATTATCTTTTATGCCCATTTTAAACCACAGATATACAGGTTTCTTAGAAAAATAATGGGATATATATTTTAAGATTTAGCGAATCAAGAGACACTGATACCAAATATTTACATACACTGAATAAAATAAAAAATTTTGTCTCCATCTTACATCTAGGAGCGTAAAGTCCTGGTCACAGGGGTTGCGTCAATTTTTTTTTCTGTCACACTGACTGCAGTGAGTGTAGAGGATCCTGATAAGCAGGATGAATAGATCCTGATCCATGCAGATTTTTTCACTTCTGTCTCTGCGGCTCAAAAACGTAAACAATGTCCCACATTTGACTGGGACAGACAATAAAAAATATTTTTTTAAAAACCTGTCGGCGCAGCCACCAAGTGTGCATATATATATATATATATATACACACACACACACACACACACCGTATTTTCAAGACTATAAGCCACTACTCTCTTCGTAAGCTTTGAACCATGCTGCCTATTGAGAAGGTGCGGCTTTTCTGTGGAGTTTTTCCTAACCGCCAGAGGGGGAAGTCAAAGTTGGAAAAGACAGAATAAGGGTTTTCATTTAGCACAAGAACATGCTAGCAGCAGCTACGACTGAGAAAAAATATACTGAATTCACACATTGTCATTTATTTGCCCCATTAAATCTGTTTAACCAATGAAGAAACTGGGCTCAACTCCTGCAGAGCTGAAACAAGGAACTGACAAAGCCCCGTCCTTCATCACAAACTCTTGTTGCCACCACCCACAAGCTAACAGAAGCTAGCATTTTCTTTGTCCTACTCTAAGGGTGATGTGTAGAGCTCCCCCTATAGGGTTGGTGGGAGAAAGTTCAGTGGATATCAGTGGCGTATAGCCCGGTGTGGCTTATTAATGTAGATTTCTGTTTTTTTTTTTTTTATTTAGTGGGCACGGCTTATAGTACGGTTCGCTCTATAGCATTACAAATATATAGAATAAGAATAATAGAATAATAGAAACATGTCAAGAAATGGAAAATGCAACAACAATGGTGAGGTAGGGAAGGTGGTTATAATGTAGCGATCTGTTAAGTTTGTCAAATTAGTTCTTTTTCAATAAAGAGGGGAGAGTGATAAGCTGCACTGTCTGTTCCACGTTTTTGTGCTGCTCACAGAGGATCATAATGTTACTTTATCCTTTTTCTGTCCTCTGAACTCCTATCAATGGTAAAGTATTCCTTTTTAAAATGTTTTATTGATGGTCCATATATAGGCTGCGCGACTCCAAACCTGGCTGCTTTCCCTGAGAGATTTTATTTCGTATTTTACTTTGCAATGTTTACTTTGTCTCTCTTCCTGTCAGACCAATGAAATGTCCTCTAAATTGCTGAGTAGTTCGGCTAAAATGGACCTGGGTCCATCTCGGTCGGAGCTATGCAAGCCCCCTACAGAAAATCTTGTTGGCTGTTTTCATCCCCATTGACTCTCTGTGAGCTCTAAACACCCTGCCCTCTTACAACACAATAACTTAACTGTGGACTTCCAGAAGTCTGGGCCATGCTTTGACACAAACAACAGACACTTAAAGGTGTCATATCATCTTGTTCACACAGTTAATGCAGGTATAAACACCGTGGGAATGTCCTGTCATCAAATTGCACAATAAGAAATTTAGTGTGTCCTAGAGATGAACGTGGTGCTAATAATATGCTAATCAGCCCTATCAGACTGCGATAATATGGTGGTGTGATAGTTTAGAGTGTCTTCTAGGACAGAGGTCTTCAGCCCTGGTCCTCAGGGTCCACTGTCCTGCCTGCATGTTTTAGATTATTATCAGCTTCAGAGAATTGAAAATGATTGAATTTCAACCTCCGCAGTCTCAGAGTGATGGAGACATCCATTTATCAGCCATTTCTTTAAGTCAGGTTTCTGTAGGCAGGAAAAACCCTAAAGCAGTTGACCCTGAGGACCAGGATTTAATTCAACTCAAACCCTAAAAAGCCAAATTACATTTTATAAAGGTATACTTAGACCAATGCTTTGATCTTTGAAGAATTTAACTGTGCTCCAATAAAACTTAAGCAATTTTAAGGCAAAAAGAATAAAAAAAATCTAGTTTCAGGAGATCAAGTATATGGCAGAAAAAAGATATACAAGTATGGATACTAGAGAGATAGATGAATGTTGATACATGGATGGATGAATGGTTACATTTTTAAACAATGGGATAGAGAATAATGTTCCCTTTTCTTATTTTAATTCCAATCCAGACTAGGGATGGGGATCGAAACCCGGTTCCATCAAGGACCCGGTTCCACTTTTTTCAAAACCCGAAAATCAATAACGTTTGGGCTTATCGATACCACTATCGAGTCTGGTCGTTTTTTTTTTTTTCTCCCGGAGGTCCTGTAACATAATTGTGTGTCCCTCGAGTCGCCTTCACAGCATTTAAATCTAATCAATCCAATCACTGCAGCATGTCCACCAATGTTTTGGAATGAAATTGTAAGCAAACAGATATTTAAAGTAAAACAAGTCTGGCACTTAACTTTGCTCGCGACTCGAGAATGGCTGAACGGAAAAGACTCCTCCTCCTGCCGCTGCCCCGCCGCACCACAGTCTGTCCGTCTTCATCATCCACTCAGAGTACCACTGGTAAGCGCGCACACAGACTTTGTAGCTTGTCCGGTCAGTTAAAAAATAGTAATTGTGAAATCCGTGTTGTAATCGGCAGCATACAAGCTAGTTAGCTTGAAAAGTAAATAAAGTTTCAGACGTGCTGCGTGATGATGTGTTCAGATTGGCTCAGTAAAACGACAATTAGGTTATCATGATGCGTTCAAGTGTAACGTAAAGAAAACGGGAAATTTTGTTTTTGGCGAGAAACATGAGTAATACAGTTGTATATTGCTCTATATATAATTAAACTACTGATGCCAACATTTATTAAAATTACATTTAATTTAAAATACAATTATTTATTTGTTAAATATTTTCCTAATCACTAAAAACATGATGAAAAGTGACAGTAGACAATACATTAACCAACAATTGTAAAAATATATTCTAGTTAGTTTTATGTCATTTCGAAGTGGCCTATTACATTAGCCATGTTTATTGAAGGCTAGAAACGTTTTTGTTATGCTCACTTGTTAAGCAATAAAAGCAATACCAGTTCTGTTAAAAAAATTTTGTTGCATCGTCTTTCCACCAAATAACAGAAAAGTATCGATAGTGGTATCGATAAAGACTCGGATCGATAAGGAGTATCGATAAAGGTATCGATATCAATAAATATTAACGATCCCCATCCCTAATCCAGACCCCCCAAAAAATAAAAAATAAAAATAAATAAATATATAAATATATATATATATATATATATATACACACACACACACACACACACACTGCAGGTTTTGTTTTTTTTGTTTTTTTATATCTTGTCCTGAAAAATAATTAAAATAAAGCATAAAAAAAAAAAAAAAAAAAAAGATCCTCACAGCATGAAACATTGGAGCCCCTTACCTGGCTACAGACTGGATCACTTTAGATGATGTATCTTTAATGTTGGTCAAGAAGCGCTCTGTTCCTCCCCTCAAGAGGTCCAGGAATCCACTTCCTGCCTGATCAGGATCAAACACTCCTGGTCCTACCAAGACAGAAAACACACCAGAGTAAATATGCTGTCCCCATGTTTGGGGAGAGGTGGCCTAGTGGTTAGCGCGGGGGTCGGTGAGCCACATGCGGCTCTTTAGCGTCCCCCTGGAGCTTTTTGAAAAATTTATGAAAATGTATTCATTTTTTTTTATATGGTGTGCAGGAGGTCAAACTAAAATTATTTATTTTTTCAATGCTGTAAACATTTGTATACTAAATAAATGTAAACAATAATTTGCGTCATAGCCATAGAGATCAGTGGTCATAACTTGCGACCAGCATGGAGCGGTGCCAGGCAAACAAAGCTGCAGGTGTGTCTCGCACCATGGATTCCAAAGGGAAAAAAGGAAGATAGCTAATGAGAACAGAGGATTCAAAGAAAATGGACTGAATCATTTGCTTTCATTATCAATGCAGGAGGGTTGCCTGCATTTTTGCTTTGTAATGAGAAGTTGTGAAAAAATAAAAATAAAAATTAGGAAAGGCATTTCCAGGGAAGGCTAAATATGCAGCCGACCACCAAGCTGGAAGTGAGAGAAAAAGTGCGATTGCAGAACTTCTGGATAAATTAATAAAGATAGATTTAAGAAGTGGATTGCATCTCCAAACTCCACTACTGCTGCTAGTTTGGTTGCAAGGATGGAAAATCATCCACATTTCAAACAGGTAGAACTCTGATGCAGGTATGTGTATTTTCTTCCATTTTTTCCCCAAATCCTAAAAATATCAATCACACCAAGGAACGCTGTGACAGAGGATGTGGGATTTCAGGGTTAGAGAGCTCTGCACTGATGGATGTCAGTTCCTGCTTGGTTCCTCATGACTCATCCCAACAGAAACACATCCACCATAGAAAGATTCCTTTATCCTGTTTCTACAATTTCATCAATGCACCGGGCGCAGTGAAGTGGCGCGCGATGGGAGCATTCACTGCTCGCCCATCACCTCATGCTGCTATGTGACATTTGCTCCAGGATAAACATTTAATCATCAATGCTTATTATATTTTAAGCCCACATAGTCCTTTTCTATAGTGGAATAATACACTTAGAGCCCGTGTTACCATAAGAGGCATATATAAGACTTTTACATTTTTGCGGCTCCTGTTTTTTTTGGTCCAATATGGCTCTTTGAGCAGTTTGGGTTGCCGACCCCTGGGTTAGGGCATAGAGCTTGGAGTCCTGAGGTTCTGAGTTCGAGCCCCACTCCCACAAACTGCCTCTCTGGGTCTCTGAGCAAAGATCCTTAACCCCACACTGCTCCCCGGGTGCTGCACAATGGCAGCCCACTGCTCCCCCAAGGGGATGGGTTAAATCCAGAGAGTGAATTTCTCCAATGTGAGATCAATAAAGTTCAATCATAACAGCACCCAGTGAGCAAGATTCTTTATGTGTTCATATTAGAGGCAGTTAGAAGGGATCAACAAAGCAAAGAACAAAACACGCTCTGCTTTTCAACAGATGGCTGACGAGCAGCACAGAAATCCTCTTATTAGGCATCAGGCTGTGTTTGAGGAAGAAAGATAAGCTCATTACGGTAGTTTTGGCAAATGTACAAAAGGAACAACACAATAAAAGGAACGTCTTTTAATAAAGTTTACTCCAATCCAGAAACAGAAATGGGAAGTCTGTGTTTGCTATAGGGATTATAAGGGTAAGGCAGTTTTATTTGTAAAGCACATTTCAGTAACAGGTCAATTCAGTGCTGTTATTTTGCTTATTTTTCATTCAATATTTAAAATGCAATGATCAATTCTTTTTCTACTGGTGAACTGCCTTAATTGCAAGAATAAATTCCTAGTATTGATGCTCAGTACACTTTTAAAGTATGGTATATAAAGCATCACTGTTCTACACAGGCCATGGTAAAGCTAAAAATCCCCACAGTAAAAAAAACAAAATTTAAACCACTAATGTATTTATACTAAACGTTTTAAATATAGTATAGTTATGGCTTATGAAAGACCGACTAAAATTTCTACTTGTTCTACTTCTATACTCAAAAGCATAAGAGGAAAATAATGAAAAAAAAATGTAGTTTATTATTTGCCAAAAGATTTATGTCTTATAAACATCTTCCTTCTTGTTCAGAAGGGCAAAGTTGTTTAGGTTACTTGGAACATACAGCAGCACATTTGTTTGCCTGCTAAGCCAGAGATTTAGAGATATTCTACAGGGCTGTTAAAGCATGCAATAACCTGCAATCTTCAGAGATCCTCTCGTTATTATGCATCCTTACCTGCACTGTTATGGACACCCTGGATCTGCATGGGTGGCTGTGCTCCATTGTTTCCGAATCCTCCGTTCTGCTCCATCAGCTGTAGACATTCATATCCATCATACAGTGGACGCCAGCAGTGATACATACTCAACATTGTTGCAAGAATTATGAGCAAATAATCAAGTGGGTGAGAAAATTATGGTAAAATTTACAGCAAAAAATGCTTAGCAGGACGAAAAATATAAAGCTGATAATAAAAATAAAAAGAAGTTTAAAAAGAGCAATCCTTTTAAAGTATCAACATAAAGATGTTAAGAAATAAAGGTTTCCCAGGTTTGCAAAAGGCAGCCAGGGAGCGTCTGTGCCTTTCTTCATAAAGCCATCTATCGTATCCCCCAGGCAGTTCTTCGCTTCCATTTCTACTCCCTTCCTTAAGTCTTTGTCTCTTTGCTACGTCGCACAGTCTGCTGCTGCGTCCAGCTTAGCTGAACTGCAGCGGAGAGTGGAAGAGGAGGATTGTAATCTCCTTACGTCCAGCAGGGAAGCCCTTTCCTATCCTAATCAGATCAGCAATTGCCAAATCTACCCCCACCACCACCACCACCACACACACACACACACATTTTTGTTTAACTTCTTCACTTCTAGCCAAAAAATAAAAACAAGAACAAAAATTAGTTTAGTTGTAGAGAGATTTAAAGGATACTAAACACTGATTCAGATCCTTCTATCAGAGAATTACTGCAGATCAAAAAGTTGAAGCAATGAGTCTTTGTAAAACTGCCAATTTCAAACTAAAAAATCAGATTTAACTGTAAGTACAGGGATTTCGGTCAGAAAATTATCATCTTAGCCTAAAATCCTAAATCTGATTTAAACATTTCTAAGACTCTAAGAGAGTCTTAGAAATGTTTTTGACTAAACAATAACACCCCCACTCCATTACTACTCTGTCATGTTTCTGATTTCATTAAGTCCACAAACCTCAAAATTCTGCCTGTTTGCTGCTATAAGCACATAGTAACCAAGTAAAGGAGCCAGAAAAGGAGAAAACCGTCTCCTTTGTGCCGCCACCGAGTGCATGTGTTACAAGAGTAAAGGAACTGCATCAGCAATTTGAGAGGCACAGAGCTCCTTCCGCTGTGTGCCTCTCACACGCTTACAGACAGATGAGCCATCTTAGCCAACAAAAATGACTTATTAACAAGACGCCAAAAAGTCAATCTACCAAAGAAATAAAATATAAGCAGTTTATCTTGCTTTTGTTCTCCCAGTTTGTACAGGTTTGGCCACTCACTTCTGTTACTGGAGACTTGGGGTTGACGTTGCGAGCAGCTGCAATCTCCTGCAGCTGGTTGACCAACTCTGTAATAGACAGCCTCTCATCGGGATTCACCTTCAACATGGAGCCTAACAAAGAGGGAATGGAAGACAGTTTTATACGTTAAAGAGAAGGAGTTTGAGGAAAAAGATTTTAAAGGAGTCTGCAAAATTATACTGCTGTTAAAAAGAAAGCCTACAGATTCAGTTAGAGGTCTACAATGACTAATCACAGGAAGAAAAGCCACTAAGTTCGGGCTTTTAATTCTGTAATAATACAATTCATTTGCTGGAATTGTAGGGGAAAAAAACAAAACATCAAAAAGTCAAGTTTTCAAAAATAATTACTGGATGCAAATGTTTGAATTTACTACTAAGTTTTTGTAATTAATCCTGGGTTACATTATACATAAACTTAGATGTCAAGTAGAAATACTTTGTTACCTCACTTGAGTAGAAGTTTTGGATATCTATACCTCACTAGACTCATTATTCTTAAGACAAATTTTTACTTCTACTCCTTACATTTTAAAAATCGACTCGTTAGTTGTGTTTCATTTAAGCAAATTTTTGTTACGGCCTGCTGGCATTTATAAAAAATAAATAAATAAAAAAAAAACACCTAAATAAATGATTGAATTTCACCTAAATTTCTTTCATCGAGACAATTAATTTCTTTGTGGCTGGACTCGGTGCTGCACCAACTTATTGTTCACCACATACCAAAAAATAATTTGCAAGATGATTCAAAGTTAAAGTTGACGCTGTAAACATTAGTTGTAAAACTAAGTATAAGGAAGTTATCATCCAGAATTATAGAAAAATGTTCCTTTCATAGGGTAATGCATTATAAGGTTTAAAAGTTCTGTCCTTAACATTTTTTCCTGCATTACTTTTACTTTTATACTTCAATTATTTTTAAAGAATGCTACTATTACACTTTGACTTGAGTAAAAAAAAAAAAAATGATATATATATTATATAATATATAATTATAATATAATCTATAAACTTGGTTATTTATACAATGAGGCTCAAAAGTACCTTTTGAAAATAATCTTTAAACGGGTATCAAAAATATTATTGTTGTAATACAATTAGCTTTTTTCAGATCTGCCGTAATCTAATCTTAAATGTCATATTTCAGCAGAATATCATCCTAAATAAAACTAAAGGTTTCAAAAAACAAACCAATCTGTATAGAAGTACTGTGTAGTATGTCTGAGATCACTGTCCTGATGCAAGATAAAATGGTGCCCAAGTTTCAAAGATAGGAACCAAATTGTGAGCCTCAGATGAGAAGAAATCTGTATTTATACTGAGAACTCCTGGAATGTCGGGTCAGTTTGAAGAGAATGAAAAGTTTTCAATCAGCTTCATCCTTTTTGGTGTGAATTAAGCACAGAAATCAAATTGCGGTGCTAAAACAATTTGATGTTTTTCCTACTTAAATGCTCAAATTATCCAGCCAGCATTAGGCAAGAAGCTTTCTATTAATGGCAGCCATTAATGTTATCCGTAAACAAGCACACAAAGTGATTTCAAATAATCCCTTTAAAACCCTAAAATTATTTAATATATTTTTCCTCTAAAATCCTCATGTTTATACTTTAAAATTACAGAACTAATCAGGAAGTTAACAACTTCTTAGTTTAAACAGCAACAGCACATTTCTGAAAACTCAAACGTAAAAGTCACTTTATAGAAACGCAGCCTTAAATGATAGGATACATATTAATTATTTTCCATGTTCTATTTTCCAAATTACTGCTGTACTTTGTGAAAGACTTCAAATATTGATTTTTTTTTGTTCTTTTTTTGTTCTCTTTCATGATGAGTCTCTTTGACCAAAAAACATAACCAGGGGCAATTTGATTACCAACTGGTGTATGACAATACAATCATCTTTAAAACTGATATAAAACTCATTAAAGCGATGCAGAAAACAGAGCAGGCAGGAATAAAAGAAGAGAAGGAAGAAGCACAATAAAGGTAAATGAAAAATGCAATCCGTACGTATGAGGTCGTGAAACACGGCGTATTTGACATCGTTCTGAGGGATGGAGTATTTTCCATTGACTATCTGCAGTTTGGCTCCTTCCTCAAATGGATGCTGTTTAAAACACAACAGGTAGAGGATGCATCCGAGAGCCTGTATGGAGGAGAAGATGTCTGAACTGTTAACTCACACAGATTTTATTTTAGGATTGACAGTGAAACTGAAAAATGAGAAAAGCAAGGACGTTTCCAGGCTCTGACCCAAATGTCTTGTTTGTCGTTGATCGGGAAGTTAGAGTAAAGATCGATCATCTCTGGTGTTCTGTATGCTGGGGTAGTGTTTCTTGTAATCTGCAAAGAGCAGCACAAACAAAACAAAACTCAGATGAGGCCCCATGTTTAGGTCTCAACTTGGTAGTTAAATTGTTTTCTAGTAAATTAAAGGAAAAAAAACTTCCATTTAAAAATGAAAAAATGTATTTTTTTTATCCTTGTATAGTATAAAATGAAGACTTTCTCAAAAACAAAATTCTATCATGCAAGCTGTTTGAGAGTTAATGTAGCGCTGCTGCTATGAAAACATTAGCAGACATTATTAGATCAATAATTTATTGTGTTCAGCACAGTTTACTCATTTTAGGCAAAGCTCTCAGTAATTCATGTCTCTGTTTAGTTATGGTATTATTATCAATTAGTGTTTTCTCTGGATGTTTAAATCAAAGATTTCATTCAAACACCAAGATTAAATATTTGGTTTGGATTCAATGAAAAATGAGACATTAACTAATTTATTTATTTTCTGTTATTAGGAACAAAGAATAAAGCTTCTCCACCTTATTAAATATATTTCAGGTAAATTTTTAAACTGCTTAATATTCTCAGAATATCAAGGAAGATTGTTCATTTAACATCTAACTGTTTCTCCCTCTTTTTTTATTTTTTTAGGATTTAAAAATGTCCATTTTAATATGGCTGCTTTTAAATTATCAAAAGATTAGACACTGCATGCCTAGATATAACTTGTTTTATAACTGTAATTTTTTTATTTAAGAAATAATGCTGCATCAAAGGGCAAAAATAAATAGACATAAAGCTGCGTTTAGTCTGGGGGCTATAGTAGAGCAACCCAATGTAAAGGAAATTTTGGCCATCATGTTAATTCATTTTATAAAAAAATAAAATAAAATAAATTAACAAAATCCCCTGTAAATCTTGCCATTATAAAACCTTTAATAGTTCAGAAAGGAACCATAATAGCCCTGGTTACAGAATAATATCTGGTAAACATAAAGCAAGTGAGGAATCTAATACCCCATTTACAGTACCCTTGAAAAACCGTGCAAAGACCGGTGCAAGCTCAGTAACTGAGATAACTTATCGTGTGTAAATGGAAAGCAAACGGAACTAAACCGAGCTAGACACAACCGAACCGAGCTAACTGCAGACCAGTTCCAGAGGTGGGCTCAGCTCGGTTTTTCCCTGACTCGGTTCTCTGATAACAAGAGTGCATGAGCAGAACACGTCATCTCCGTCTAGCTGCACATCCCGATTCACACTCCATTCCAGTAGTTGGCGGTAATGCCCCTCCGGAAGTTGCTTGCCAACCAACACAAAACAGAAGAAGAAGAACAACTATAAACAACTATATACATCCACGAAAGGTTGCTGTCTTCGCCTGACCCTCCGCAAACACCGAAGTACAGCAATAATAATCATGCATAACTTTCTGAATGTGACGGGCGCTGCCATTTTGATTTGCTTGATTCCCTCCTTCTTCGTCTTCTTCTTCTTGTGTTTTATGGCAGTTGGCAAACAACTTTTGGTGCATTACCGCCACCAACTGCTTGATTTCCTCCTTCAATACTGGCAGTAATACCGCAGATCGTCACTAGGAGGCGAGGAGTCGAGGAACAGAGATAGCGTGATGTGTAAATGGTCGTCAGAACCAAGCTCGGCCTGGTTAACTGATCCGACCTTGGACCGGTCTTGGCATGGATCGGTTTTTCAAGGGTAGTGTAAATGGGGTAAAAGACTGTCAGGGGGCAGCACTGGGTTCACGAGGGAACCGGTGGTGACATGAGGAGAAACAAAACACTGATAATCCTGTCTATAAACTCTGGTTCAGTCAAAAGACACTGGCTGATGCATAGGCCTCATTTCTCATTTAAATTTAGGGAAGTCTGTGTATGTCGGTGTGTGTACCTCATCCTCCACCATTGACCTCTTCTGTGCAGACCAGCTGTAGTCGGGATAATGTGACACTGTGGTGGCGCTGCCAAAGTCGCACAGCTTGATGGTGCCCTGGTTACTAATCAACAGGTTCTCAATCTGAAACACATAACAGGCAGTCTTATTCAGCACAACTGCTTATAAACAGGCTCATCATTTAGCCGCTTTCTAAGGCATCAGTCTCTCCTTCAGCTATTAACTGACCAACCTTTAGGTCTCGATGGATGACGGGAGGTTTCTGCTTGTGCATGTGCTGCACAGCACGGCAAGCCTGGTAGAAGATCTTCAGCACGGTGTCACATGACATAGGAGCTCTCTGCTCCACACGCCTGATGAAGTCCACCAGCTGACCTGAAGCAAAGCAAACCTCCAAGATCAGTCAATGAACCATGCTTTTTTAAAATAGATTTTCAGATCAGATCATTTTATACAACACACAATGGCACCTGAGAAAAACATTTTACCTTTCTTATATTAATGTAAATGTTTTATATTCAAAGATTATGATTATTTTACAAAAAATAAGCATTATATTAAGAGTTTATCTTGTGAAAAAATGTTTTAAAAATAAGGGCCCCATTTTTTTTTCTTCTTTATATAGAAAAAAACAGGAATTTGTTCCTGTTTTTTATGCTAATGAAGAAGTCCACCCATCTATATATAATCCAATGACAAAAAGAAAAATCAGGTTTGATATAAAATAACTTAATTGAATGTCATCCATATCAACCATTTTAAACATTCCCAACCAACTTATATGAGATGTAAATTATATTTTAATGAGAAATAAAAAAAACTGTTAAAACTTCTTATATTTAAGAAACTGATTTTGGTCTTTGTAGACCTTTTGTAATGGAAAAAAAAGGAAGAAGGCAGGAAACGAAAGGCCACAAAAAGAGAGACTTGCATCACAAAATCTTTGTGGTTTCTGAGTTCCTGAGAAACTGCAACGTCACCTGAACTGGGGTTAATACATTTGATGAATGAGTAAGCCCAAAGTCTGTTACGATTAGGCACAGAGAGGAGATTCACTAGAACTTAGGAAGTTGTCTGTGTGCAGAAGTGGGAGTCAGTTTTTACCTTTACACAACTCGGTGAGGATCAAAAACTCTGCCTGCCCGGTGTCTGACTCTTCCTTGCTGATGGATGCAGCCGAGCAGAACTGAACCATGTTTGGATGGCCTGAGAGCTTTTTCTAGGAAGCAGGGGGGAAAGAAAATAAACACTGGTGTGACGTCAGGGTTCGTCTAAGACTGGACATTTGATACACTTTAAACTGAAATCTTTGACCTCACTGTAAAAAAAAAGCACATGCAGACTCAACTTCCCCCATTTAAGGTCAGCTAGGATCACTTAACTTACGATTTGTTGAATGTCAGACAAATGAGGAGAAAACTTTCCATCTATTCTATTGAAACATTCTTCAAATAAATGCAAAACGTTGTTTCCTTAGTGTTAGGTAGACTTCTTAAAGTTATGCCTTGGGTCAAATGTTTTGAGTATCAACAGGACTGTCCGTCAGGTTTGTAGGCTCACCTGCTAACATTCCCTTTCAGCTCTGAAAAAAAAAATTCCTGTGCAACTTAAATCAGGGATTTATTATGTCCTGTCTAAGACAATTCACACCCATTTGGCATACTTAATATCATCAGCCAAGCTTTAAACTCCTGGCTGATGGCTTAAAATGTAGCTTCTACCACAAGGAAAGACATAATGATGGCGCTACCCGCCATAATTCCCACTTTGGATAGGCTTCTAAGCTTCGCTCTTCTTTCTGCAAATGCAACTATGGTCAGTATGGCCGTTTCATGACACCACAGGAAACAGCTTTAAAATTTAACTTCACTTGTTTCACAATGGATAATGACCTTATTCCTCTGCCAGAATCTTCTGTCTGTCTTTCTACTTTTTTCTTTGAAGTCAATGCTCATATTTCAACCCAAAACACATTCATCTAATGATCAGTATTCTGGCAGATATTTCACATGTTGTTAGTGCTTGTTTGCCACCGTTTGAAAAAATAAACATAAACTCAGGCAGGACAAGGCTCATCTGAGGAGGTCCAGAGATATATTCCTGATTACTATTATTATTTTTATCTATCCAAGGTGCCTCTGTAATGTTTGCAACTTTAAGGGTTAAAATCAAATATATCCACCCCATTGGATCTGATCCATTTATACAGAAACCCAATCTAGAATTTTCTAATAACTTGCTTTTTGGTCAATACTCTGTTTAGTGTTGGGGAGGAGATGGTCTTAGGCATAACCTGTCGCCCACCTACAAATCACTTTAAGGAACAATAACCAGAAGATTCACCTCTCACCTGCCCTCACCTGACTCACACTTCAATGATGCATGTGACCAAAACCAATCTGACAAGGGAGGTTACGACCCATCAGAACCACCTATCAACCATTAACACCCATCAGGTGACTTCCATGGCCAATCCAGTAGGAGGGATCACAGCCGCCTTTTGTTTTCCCATAATTCTTTTGTGCCACCTGCAGTATAGTAAGAACTGTGGAAGCCTCTTGAATGAGAAGCAAAATGTCTTCTGGAAAACTTTGAACCCAGATGCCTAAACTGAACTTTTCAAGCTTGACCATGGCCTGGATGACTGAGAACCATCATAGATATTCTGTTAGGCAGTTTTTCTAACACACCGAAGAACACTAGCCTGAAGAATTCACACTAACTACTAATAGTGTGTATTGACTAATGTTTGCCTATCAAATAAACTGCTGACTCAGCATAAACAGATTAGTACACACAAGTTCTTTTTAACTTGTTTCACGTGACGACATCTGCTCTAAACCAAAGAGTAAATAATATATATGATCAGAGAAAAAAAACAAGAAAGCAAAGGATGTTCAATCATACCATGAAGCAAACTTCCTGTATAATCTCCTTGTTCTTCTCCTCCTCATTGGACAGGAGCCTCTAAAACAAAATAAAAATAAACATTTAAGAAATGACTTGTCACTATAATGATCAGGGATTCATTCATTCATTCTGCATTAAGAGCTGCATCTTAAAGCATAAAGTCACATTACAGCTGAAAACATTTGCAGGCATCACATATACTGAGAAAACCATTGGAGAAAATAATCTGACATTACACATTGCAGGCACTGATCATTCATAGGATGAGTGGAAGTTAAAATGATGATCTTTGATAATTCTGTTAAGACTCATCAGCATAGAGGTTTGAGGAATTATGACATAGTAGTTTTTTTTATTGTATTAAGAGATGTTAGAGAAAATAATACAAAAGAAGCCAAAAAAGTGTTTTAAAGCAGTATGTGTCGCCCAACATGGGGAGCAAATGGCAGCAGGAAGGCTGAAAGTATCACACCCAAGGTGTTTGGTTTGATCATTTTAAAATGTCAAAGTCTGCCCACAGAGGAACAAGTTTAGAAATATTGGCAACAGATCTAAACATGGTGAGCAATGGGTTTAAAAAGTCCAAAAAAATAAAAAAATTATTATTATAAAAATGCCTGATTACTACAAGCTAAAATGTATCAACAAGTTTTAAACATCAGCTTTGCAATTGCTTTTTAAAAATAATAAAAACCTCTTTAACTACAGATATATGTAAGATCCTACCCCACCTAGTGTAAAGTCACCTATTCTCTAGATTGCTAAGTTTAAGGAGGCCTGGATCCACTGGCTAGAACTTACAAAAGCAGAAATTCATTGCATCCTCAACCAGTATTGCAACATTTAGTGAAATTACAAGTGTGTGGCAAAGAGAGGAGGTTCAAGAAAGACTAAATGTAGCAGGGGAGGGCGGGGGCTGGGGGGTAATGTGGGGCCGGTGTTTGTTCAAGGGGCAGAAAACAAAAACAAAAACAAAACATTCAGGCAATCATCCATTGTTTAATACATTAAGTAAACCGATTCCCTCCAGGGCTGAAGGTTTCAGACCCCTGATTAATCAGATGAAAATGTGATCCTATCTCAGCAGGGCTAAAGCTAAACATGACTAACCCTTAATAAACCATTGTTAAACTGAAAGAAATTATAATGATCCAGAGCAAAAACCAGTTAAATTTGTTCACCAGCGCATATCATCAAATGAAATTGATTTAGAAAGATGATTTAGAAAATTATCAGCCATCACAGGGGCCAGTTCCACTGTTGACCCCTGTCTAGCACCACAGGTGGTTAAAAACACTCAGTGGGCCAAAATGTTGATATTTTTCCTCTTCTTTTCCAGGTGTACACTTCACATACTGATCAGGAGTCTCTTTCTTTCTACAAGGTAAATCAAACACCAAATCAGTTTAAAACACAAAGCCTTACAGAAGGCTCCTCTTACCTTCAGAGCATAGTCTTTCCCACTGCTCATGTCCTGGGCTTCATACACAAAAGCAAATCCACCTAAAAGAAACAGGTAATTAGGCAAAAGTTTTTACATGTAAACAATATTCTAAATGGCAACTAAAAGGCATGACAAATAGGGTATTGTTATATGCAATCCTATATAACTACTGTCTAAAATAAACTTTGGGTGTTCAGGATTCATTTCCTCATGACATATTTTCAGTGTTAAAATATTGATTATTGAATAAGAAAAAATAAAACTAAGTTCACAGAGGGCTGAGTTAAAATTCTAGCATATAACCAGAGGAAGCACTCAGAGCTTCAGATACACTCTGCAAGTGACACAACAACCACGTTCTTATCTGCAGATTGCTGAGCCACCTAAAAGAGTAGTTTGAGCTTATGAAACTAAAACCAAATTCAGCAAACTTTCTGACTCCAGCTTTAGTCTTAAACCTTAAGAGTCTAAAATGGAAATATACATTTTCTCTTATAGAATGGTTGGTTCCAAGACGGTGGCAGAACCATTTTAAAATCAGTATAATCTCTCACAAAATGAAATTATTTGGACATGTTGCAATGTGATGCATAGAACGAGTTTGTGCAACATACTCTAGAGAAAATTTTTTGTGATTTGAATTCAGCCTAGTGTGCGTTAGAAGGCCGACAGTAAGCTTCAACAAAGACACCCCCAACAATCCAGTCCGAACACAGTAAAAGCACAATCACCATAGTGATGAGTAAATCAACTACCTGCCTTGCTCGGCAAAAACCAAAAGCATCTGCTCCCGTTCTCTAATTGTTAACGATTTATTTACCAAAGGATGGCTGCTCAGGTGTGTTTAAGATGGATTAATTATCCCATTCCTGACCATGTTTGGGATTCAACTGAGTAACCTGATAGTCACACACAGACACACACCTTTCATCCGCATGTGGGGGACATTCCAGCCTCAGTTGATTTCTGAACCCAAGACTAAAAAAATTGCAGTTTAATGTAGCATGAAGAGCATTAAACCAGTCCATTATTAAATCATTTTTTAGTAGTGGGTTTAAAGCATGAAGCTATAAACATGATACTTTGTAGAAGAGAGTGAGAAAGAAACCTGAAATTTGAACTTATCTTTTGAATCTGCCTGGTTGAAATGTAATAAAATATATTTAGGTTCCTGACAAAAATACAATAAACAAACTTGCAGGTGAGAAAGAAAAGTGAGAAGGTATGAGTAGTTTATTATATAAGCAAATCAAAAAGCACAGTACAAAAATAACAAAGAAACCTTTCAAAGAGCAAGATGGGGTAAATGTAAAATGATCCTCTTCCTTTGGTTTAGTTAGTCTTCTTTTAACCTCTGAAGGGACATCTAAGATGGGTTAATACTGGTGAGCAAGCCGATAGTACAGAAGAGAAAGATGACTTTCTAACAATATTGTTGTCATTTCTCTTCCATCTACATTTCATGTCTTTTTTTTCCATATCAAAGTAAAATTATTTCATTCAGTGGATTTTTTATGTTTCATTTTACAAAGCAACGAGAATCTTTATTTTTCCTTTTCTACTATAATTTAACAGGGACTACTGTTAAATTACAAATAACAAATAATTGTCTCTATGAATATAATTAATTTACTATGTTCATTCCATACAGGAAATGACAGCATTCAGCAGGTGCTACAGGCAACTTTTTTCTTTTTTAACTGAATTACAATTTAAATTAGTTTTCATTTTTTAGTAGTATAGACAGCACTGCTCCTTTGTAGATCAGAAAATTATTTATATACGTACACTTTTTACTAACTTTACATAAAATACATATTTTTACATCAGACATGCCTCTATCTGAAGTAGACAGGGATAAGCAGACCAATGCAAGGCCTGAATGAAAAGCATTTATTCTTAGTTTTATTCATTTATTCTATCTTTGCGTTTGTCCTGATGCAGATGCAACGCAAACATCTCTCTCTTAATCTGAGGTCATATGAGTGTCTATCCAGTAAATATCAGCAGCTGATTTAGTTTTTTTCTAAATAGATAAATTATGTCATCAGACGTGATTTCAATAACATTTTCAGATGATAAGATTAGTAGAAACCAGATCATCACCTGCTGTTAGCTAGGCTAGCCGTTTGCTAGCCAACGCAACGGACGTTGTTAGCTAGCTCAGCTACCTAGCATCCATGTTTACAAGCCGTGACAGTCTGTTCTGTGGCTGCGGAACACTTTCTCACCTTCAGCGATCACCCGTTTGATTCTCAGTTTCATGTCACCGAGTTCAACAACTTGTCCAACGAAGTCATTCTGGTCCCGGCTGGCCCCTCCGGACGAGCCGGGCCCGGCTAAGAAATCCAGTGCTGACTGAAACAGGGACATTTTTTTTTTTACTATCCGGCGTCAGTTTTCAGTCCGCCTCTTATCCAGTAAATTAGGAGCCAAACTCCCCGCTGGTCCGACGAAATTACTCTCCAGCAACCTTTTCGGTTGATAAAATGTATTCTATTCATATAATGTTATCCCTTCATTCTAAGCTGACACCCTCTTCCTGCTGCTAAACTGACTAGGCAGCCATCAGCGGCACCGACTGCTTCCGTGAAGAGTAAATATGACGTCAGACATGACGTAGTCACGTGACCCATATAAAGCATAGCACAAAAAAAAAACACTAAAATAGAATTGAGCAACATACATATAAATATTTTTTTTTAATTGAACTAAACTCAACACAAAAAAACTACTTATTAGTCAGTCTTTCCCTAATAAAAGTTGAAAACCTAAATAATAAGATAAATAAAAACTGCTATCTTAAAAATAGAAATTAAAAAATGTTTGGCACTTAAAATCAGTGAATAAAATGAACTTGGATATATCTTTCTCAATCAATCACTTGATTAAAAATATCTCAATGTCTTTTTTTTTTTTTTACACATATTAAGTTGTGATGGGAGTGCTCAGTGGCGCAGTGGGTGGCACTGCTTCCTTGCAGCAAGGAGGTTCTGGGATTGATTCCCGGCCTGGGGTCTTTTTGCATGGAGTTTAGTTTGCATGTTCTCCCTGAGCATGCATGGGTTCTCTCCGGGTACTCTGGCTTCCTCCCACAGTCCAAAAACATGACTGTTAAGTGGCTTCTCTAAATTGTCCTTAGGTGCGAGTGTGTGCATTGTCTCTGTGTTGCCCTGTGATGGACCGGCAACCTGACCAGGATGTACCCCGCCTCTTGTCCATTGAGAGCTGGAGATAGGCACCATAGAGGCCAGTTCCTCTGTTGGCCTCTGTTTAGCACCACAGGTGGTTGTAAAACACTCAGAGGGCCAAAATGTTCATGTTTTTCACCCTTCTTTTCCAGATGTACATTACTGATCAGGAGTCTCTTTATTTTTTGAAAGAAAACTCTTAATTCATATAGTTGTATCTTTAGACCTCATAAACCATCACAAAGAAGGCTTCATTCTTTCATGTGATATTCAGTTACAGCTCCTATCCGTAACAGTTTACTTCAAAACAAACTCTTGGGTCTGTATACCATACACTGGCTTTAAAGTACAAGAGACAAAAGTCTGTATAATAGTACTATACTGCTGTGCTACAATATATATATATATATATATATATATATATAAACTCTCATGAAATAAAACATATTTCATGACATTATTTCGCATTAATGTATTTATGTGTATACTAAGAGTATTTAAACTTACGATGAACTGAGCAAATGCATCAATTAATGTGTTAGACGTAGTTGTTATTTGATCTAATAAAATTTTTTCTCAAAATTATTTATTTTATACTGGTCACAATCTGTTCTGTCAGATATACAAAAAGATACTGGGACTGTATGAATCAAAACATTAGTCAATGCCAAAATGCTGTAAAAATCCTAACAATCGTTTTAAATCATTCCAAATTAAAAACCTAAAATTTAAAAAGGTAGTCTTAACTTGTTTGAATATAAACCGGAACGTTCAAATGGAAATACTGGTATATCAAACTTAAATAGGACACATTTGGATTAATTTTAATAGTAAAGATAACGTTGAATTATACTGCCATCTAAAGGATAAATGACAGTAAAACCTTAACTAACTATTTGTTAGTCAGAGCATGGATGGATGTCCTCTCAGAGTGTACTTTGTTGCTTTAGTTGTGGCCTCCTGAAACTGAGTGTGAAACACAATCAAGCGTGACCAATCCAATTTATCATGAGATGTGTTTGGGCCAAAAAGGTCAATAAAACCCATTCTGCTTTGCATATAGTTCACCCAACCCTGTAAAACAAATGGATGCCTGATCAGATGACCATAAATAATGGAATGTGTTAAAAGCTGATTAAATGGTTGGTAGAAGAAAACACAAGCATCAAGCATTTTAAAAGGAACATATCTTGGAAGCTGGAAGGGCTCTTTACTTAATTATCAAATTAAAACAGTGTAAAATAATCTGATAATTGAATTTAATAATTGAAGCAGGATTAACACCATATTTCACATGTGTATAAATGTTTTTATTCAATGACACAAAAAAACAAATACATTGTTGAAGTTGTTAAAAATTAGCAACATCTGCTGAGTAGATATGATAGAGATCTAGAACCAAAAGATAATGCGGCTGCAGCAAAAGATACACTGTGGTTAGTAGCATTGGGGCTTTACATTAAGTACTTTACACAAAGAGACAAAAGCTGAACTACAACAATCGAGGCAGAGAGTTTCAGTCAGTTTAATGTACCCAGGCACCCTTGGGTTGTAGAAAAAAACTTAAGTAAAGGCAGTTTTTCTTCACATTAATGTGTGTCTATGGTGAACACGCATGACTGAAGAACACAGTAGTGTGTGTCTGTGACCACCATATATATATGTATATATATATATATATATATATATATATATATATATAGATATATATATATATATATATGTATATATATATAGAGATATATATATATAGATATATATATATAGAGAGAGAGATGTATATATATATACACTACCGTTCAAAAGTTTAGGGTCACATTGAAATTTTCTTATTTTTTAAGGAAAAGCACTGTACTTTTCAATGAAGATAACTTTAAACTAGTCTTAACTTTAAAGAAATACACTCTATACATTGCTAAGGTGGTAAATGACTATTCTAGCTGCAAATGTCTGGTTTTTGGTGCAATATCGACATAGGTGTATAAAGGCCCATTTCCAGGAACTATCAATCCAGTGTTCTAATGGTAGGATGTGTTTGCTCATTGACTCAGATGGCTAATTGATGATTAGAAAACCCTTGTGCAATCATGTTCACACATCTGAAAACAGTTTAGCTCGTTATAGAAGCTACAAAACTGACCTTCCTTTGAGCAGATTGAGTTTCTGGAGCATCACATTTGTGGGGTCAATTAAAGGAACATATCTTGGAAGCTGGAAGGGCTCTTTACTTAATTATCAAATTAAAACAGTGTAAAATAATATGATAATTTAATTTAATAATTAAAAGCTCAAAATTGCCAGAAAAAGAGAGCTTACATCTAAAATTCGACAGTCTATTCTTGTTCTTAGAAATGAAAGCTTTTCCATGTGAGAAATTGCTAAGAAATTAAAATTTCCTACAACGGTGTGTACTACTCCCTTCAGAGGACAGCACAAACAGGCTCTAACCAGAGTAGAAAAAGAAGTGGGAGGCCGCGTTGTACAACTGAGCAAGAAGATAAGTACATTAGAGTCTCTAGTTTGAGAAACAGACGCCTCACAGGTCCCCAACTGGCATCTTCATTAAATAGCACCCGCTAAACACCAGTGTCAACATCTACAGTGAAGAGGGGGCTGCGGGATTCTGGGCTTCAGGGCAGAGTGGCAAAGAAAAAGTCATATCTGAGACTGGCCAATAAAAGAAAAAGATTAAGATGGGCAAAAGAACATAGACATTAGACAGAGGAAGACTGGAAAAAAGTGTTTTGGACGGATGAATCCAAATTTGAGGTGTTTGGATCACAAAGAAGAACGTTTGTGAGACGCAGAACAAATGAAAAGATGCTGGAAGAATGCCTGACGCCATCTGTTAAGCATGGTGGAGGTAATGTGATGGTCTGGGGTTGCTTTGGTGCTGGTAAGGTGGGAGATTTGTACAGGGTAAAGGGGATTCTGAATAAGGAAGGCTATCACTCCTTTTTGCAACACATATATAAAGAGAGAAAAGAATTGGAAACAGTTTGTCATTGTGAAACAGCAGTTTGTTCTATCTGGTCCTTCAGGTTAAGCCAGGTTCTTGCCTTCAAAGGGAAAACATAAACAGCTTTAGTCTCTGAATCTAAGCATAGTTGTTATAAATACTGGAAGCGATTTCTCTCATTAGCCATAGTGTTCTCAAGATAATATACTCCTGAAATATGATTTGCCATATGTATATATGTAAGCTATTTTTCTAAAAATGTCATATTTCTCTGAATCTTCACTTTAGTTCTGATCAGTTTATTTTACTGTCCTGAAGAAAGCAATCCCCCCAGCATCATGCTGCCATCAAAATGTTTAATGTTGGGGATGCTGTGTCCAAGGTAATATCCAATTGTCATTTTATTTACTTTTTAGTAACCATATAGTATTAGTGTCCTACGTGGCTTGTACCTTCAAACCACTAAGTCAAATCCAGTTTTTTTAAACTGTTGCAGCATATACGGTAATCTTTCTACTTTTTCCCATCTGACTGATCAGAGCACCATCAGACATTTTGTAAAAATGTCTGATGGTGCTCTGGAGCAATTTCTTTTTGATCTAGTTAATCAAGTTTAACAATAAGAAAACAAGTTAAAGGGATTTTGTCTGTAGTTTGTCTGCAAATGGAGTATTGGAATTAAACAATATTCCACTAATGTGGCACAATTGCCACATTCCTGCAAACCCTCCCAGATGTAAACGTAACCTGTTAGGCCAACAAACCATAACATTCTTTTTTTTGTTTTTTCAAAGAGGCAAAAATTTCCATTGTAGCTCGGTAATTTCATTTTTAATTTATTATTAAGGCTTGTGTTGCAGATAAATGAACAATTTACCATTTATGTGTGTTTGGTTTTGCATTTCTTTATAACTAGATAAGAAATTAACTATAGCAGCAGGCTTTAATGACTCAAATCAATAGACCTAGGTATTTTTCTGCTCTCTGATTGGTCACACCCCTAACATCACCCCTCTACCCAGGTTTTTGATTGACAGGTGCAGTTCAAGCGCCTCTTGCAGCTTCCCATGTTAAAGAGTAAAGAGGCAACAGTCCAGTGTTTGAGGTACGCCTCCTGCATAGAGTGATCTGTCTGCTGATGTGGGACCAGTTCAGTAAGGACCAATCAAATAGTCCGGGGGAAGTTTCCCTCGCGCGCACCAGCGTGGATCCTCTTCCACGTTCACGTGTGAGTGACATTCAACATCTCTACTCCAGCCATTGAGGGTTAGTTACAGAAATATTTTTTAAAACGAAACCAATATTCTTTGAAAAGTGAGCAAAAGCACCTTACCAAATATCGAATAATAATAATAATAAATTTACAGTCACACTTAAAACAGAGTTTTAATAATATGTTGAAATCTTAAAGAAGCAATATGACGCTTGCATGCTGCTTAATTGATAAAAAAAACATTAAAAGATGATATAATTAAGAGATATAAAACCAGAAACTAATTCCCATAGTGCAACACTTTTTAAACACAATTAATTCATAACTTGTGATTGAAAAGTTGATAAAAAATAACAATAAGAAAGAAAAATAGTCTGAAATACCATACAAAAATCATTTGATACCTAAAAATAGGTAAATATATATCACAGTTATAACTAAAACATTTATATACTATTTTTGTTTGTCAAGAAAGCAAGAAGTACATATTTATCTGCTATCCAATAGATATAGTTTATTATAAGATTATTTTCTATATCAAAAGGAAACAGCATCTTAACATAGAAAAGGTAAATGAGTTTAGGGTATTGAACTTTAACCACGCAATTGCTAACCTATTATACTGTTACTATGTATATATATAAAATACATACCTCAGTACTATTTATACTGATTGATATTGCCATTCATTTTCTGTATTGTTTTTATAAAATACACAGTTTATCACTTTAACAACTGTATGCTTAAATCTGAATGTATGACTGGGTCATGCATGATTTGAAAGAGAAGTTTTTTTTTTCTTATATTGGTCCAAGCAATTAGGACATTATCTAACCTAAACTGAAATATAATATTTGTCTGTACTGGACTAAATTTTTATTGATAGCACTTTTCATATGACCTTGAAATACATATTTCTATATATTATATATTAATCTATCAAAATCCTGTATGATTTGTGAAGATATTTGAGAGCTGTACGAATAAATATAAATGAAACTAAAATGAAGTATATAGACACACGCCTTTTATTTATTACTTTTTCTTTGTTTTTCTTTTATTAAACAAGCCAAAGTTGACATGCAAATATGGATATACGTATAAGTAGGCAGACCTTTGCAAGATATTTTGATATAATCAGATTCAAACTCCTCATATCTTTTGTAATATGTCAATTTCACATTTTTCTACTGTAGAGAAATAGTTGCTTTAAACATTTCAGAATTCTATCCTTAATCAAGATATTACTAAACACTTTTCAACACTTTGGATCTTGAACACCCAACGCACCATGTGACGTCATGACGCCGGGGGATGGTCTTGTATCTTTCAACCACACCCCTTACGCATTGCCTTGCGCTGGATGTTATCTAGCTATCCCCATCCGCCTGCAGCCATTCAGAGCGGTGAAAACCTCCAGGAGCGGCTGGCTGGTAGCTTCCAGGGACTTTGACTGCTGCTGCTGCTGTGAAGCTGAGCGCTACAATGATGTCAGAAGACACGGAAGGAAAGAGCGAGAAAATAATGGATACGGAGAGCAAGGTGCTGTGGTACCCGGACTCCAAGAGGAACACACAGATGGACACGTTCAGGATACAGGTCAACTCAGACTACGGACTTAATCTGGGTGAGATTAAAGATCCACACTCATCATAGCAGGTGTGTCGGATTTCATTGAGCCTGTGAAGCTGCAACTGAGCTGCAGGAAATAATACCAGTTCCTCCGTCTGCTACTTGTTAGCTTTGATGATTTAATTTCATCCAGCATCTAAAGCTGCTTGTCATGGAGACGTGACTAAATTAGCAGCATCGGATGAATGTTGCTAAGCATGTCCTCCAGTCTGGATCAGCAGCTTGGCCTGATTGTCAAACCCATTAGAGAGAGATGGCCTGTTTCAGTCGATCCTGTTTAAAATGACTGAGGAATGCAGTAAAACTAGATTAAATGGAAACATGTCATCCAGGAACAACTGATACAGATTTAAACACCTAACCAAAGGCGTAGCCAGAAAATGTTTATTAGGGTGGCCAGGTAATGACTAGTGTACACTGAGGGGTGGCACAGGAACCTCAGGGTCAATCTACACTCTTCCAACAGGAAAATTAATGAGAAAAACATCCATATTTTCTAAATAAAGACAACCTATACTTTCCTACAGCCTTAACAAAAAAATAAGATGCATATATTTAAACATCCATGCTTTCTAGATAAAAGGTATGGTGGATAACTTCTTTTAGGTTTGAGTTCTGGGGCCAACGTCTTTTCCATTGTCTTTACTTTTATCAATAATCATTCTGGATTAAATGTATATTTACAAGTAATAATGTAGCTGCCATCAGAGTCAACTCATTTAAATATTTTAATATTTAGTTAAAACAAGAGTTAGCACCTACTAGTATTACAATTAAATGTTCATTCATAAATAAATAAATAACTTTCAGTTTATTTATGTCGTTTATGTACATTGGTTAAAAAGCATATTAAAATGTAAGGAGGAACCTATGTTTTTTGTTCCGCATGTCGTGTTGTTCACCATGGGAAAGATTGATGCACACAATTAAGACTGTTTTTGTGAGAAAAACTTTAAAAGTTATCTTTATTCCTTTGGAGTTTATGCGGCCAATGAGGTGCAACTTTTTTTTAACTTGTATTTATTTGTGTAAACCTTTATATTTGTTTTGAGCTAATTTGGGTTTCTGTTTCCCTTGACGGCATTTTTTGGGGCTTTATAAGACGTGTCCACAATAAATGGCTGTAAAAACCAAAAGAACGAAATTGAGCCTTGATTATCTCGAGAGCAGTAACAACTAATATCTACATAAATTGATTATTTGCTAAGTTTTTATTAAATAGTTATTTATCTATGATTTCTCTGAAGACTCTTAGATGACACATCATTTTCTTCTTACCCCATATAACACAAAATCTATTTCTGAAAAGAGCATGAAATCTGTATTTCTCATCTTTAATGTTAGTATTTTGATGTGCATAATTAACCACAGTGTTTTTGTTGTCAAGTAATTGCTAATGTATGAAAATTTAAAATGTTTGGAATATTCCACTTGAGAGTATTACTGCTGCCACCGTCTGTATTAGAGGGAAAAAAAATGGTAGGGGTGGCTACAGGGGTGGCCAATGATTGGCTAAGGGTGGCCCTGGCCCCCCATCTAGCTCCGCCTCTGCACCTAATCATGACACAGTTATTGGTAATGCTTTGTACTTTATAAATAGGTATTTAGGTTTTCTATTGTGTTCTTTTGCACCAAGTTTGCATCTGTGGAGTACAAAGGGGATGGAAAACACCCAATAGTTCCCTAATGATTTCTAAGAACCACTTATAAGAAATACATTAGTGAAATATAAGAATTGACTAAACTAAATCCTATCTATTGGCACTGGATGTTTGCTTGAAGCAGTCAATCATGCAAATGTGCCTGAAGTTGGTTTCAAATTGGGGTAATTCAAATGTTTCCTACCAGCCTTGTGATCAAATCAAATAACCATATATATATATATATATATATATATATATATATATATATATACACTCACCGGCCACTTTATTAGGTACCCCATGCTAGTAACGGGTTGGACCCCCTTTTGCCTTCAGAACTTCCTCAATTCTTCGTGGCATAGATTCAACAAGGTGCTGGAAGCATTCCTCAGGGAGTTTTGTCCATATTGACATGATGGCATCACACAGTTGCCGCAGATTTGTCGGCTGCACATCCATGATGCGAATCTCCCATTCCACCACATCCCAAAGATGCTCTACTGGATTGAGATCTGGTGACTGTGGAGGCCATTTGAGTACAGTGAACTCATTATCTTGTTCAAGAAGCCAGTCTGAGATGATTCCAGCTTTATGACATGGCGCATTATCCTGCTGAAAGTAGCCATCAGAAGTTGGGTACATTGTGGTCATAAAGGGATGGACATGGTCAGCAACAATACTCAGGTAGGCTGTGGCGTTGCAACGATGCTCAATTGGTACCAAGGGGCCCAAAGAGTGCCAAGAAAATATTCCCCACACCATGACACCACCACCACCAGCCTGAACCGTTGATACAAGGCAGGATGGATCCATGCTTTCATGTTGTAGGCGCCAAATTCTGACCCTACCATCCGAATGTCGCAGCAGAAATCGACTCATCAGACCGGCAACGTTTTCCCAATCTTCTATTGTCCAATTTCCATGAGCTTGTGCAAATTGTAGCCTCAGTTTCCTGTTCTTAGCTGAAAGGAGTGGCACCCGGTGTGGTCTTCTGCTGCTGTAGCCCATCTGCCTCAAAGTTCGATGTACTGTGCATTCAGAGATGCTCTTCTGCCCACCTTGGTTGTAACGAGTGGTTATTGGAGTCACTGTTGCCCTTCTATCAGCTCGAACCAGTCTGGCCATTCTCCTCTGACCTCTGGCATCAACAAGGCATTTCTGCCCACAGAACTGCCACTCACTGGATGGTTTTTCTTTTTCGGACCATTCTCTGTAAACCCTAGAGATGGTTGTGCGTGAAAATCCCAGTAGATCAGCAGTTTCTGAAATACTCAGACCAGCCCTTCTGGCACCAACAATCATGCCACGTTCAAAGTCACTCAAATCACCTTTCTTCCCCATACTGATGCTCGGTTTGAACTGCAGGAGATTGTCTTGACCATGTCTACATGCTTAAATGCACTGAGTTGCTGCCATGTGATTGGCTGCTTAGAAATTAAGTGTTAACGTGCAGTTGGACAGGTGTACCTAATAAAGTGGCCGGTGAGTGTATATATATATATATATATATATATATATATATATATCCATCCATCCATCTATTGATTGTCTGTTTGCTAGTGGCCACCTCCTTAGGGACATTGGGTGCAGGTCAACACAGAGGCAGGCACCTGATTAAAGCAAAATCTATTTCTGACTGTGTGAGGAGGGCAGAGTACCCAGAGAGAACCCACTCATGATCACGGAGACAGTGTAAACTACATTTAGATTAACTTGCGACTTGAATGTGAACCCAGGATCTTCTGCTACAAGGCAGCAGTGCTGAAAACTGCACCACACTATAAAGCTAGGTCCTGTTGACTCTTTAATTGAACTGCTAAAGATTTGCATCTCTTCAAGTTTTAGCTGCAAACACAAACATCCACAGCTTCCTTTAGTTAACATGTTGCTTTTTAAAGTTGAAAATGCAGAGAGAAACCTGGATAGTTTGTTTTAATAATGTTTTTTTCATGCTCATTACAATGAGAGGAGACATGATGTCAGAAGGTTCCTGTTCATTTGCTTCAGTTTGTGGAGGCAGTTCTCAATTTTGGTCATCATATTTCTTTTTAAGGGGCTTTGGAACTTCTTTTTTTCTCCTGTTAGTGTAGATCAGATGTAAGTGAGATTTATTTTCCTTACAAATATTTATCACAAAATATGTACTTCTATTAGACACATAAATTACCTACTAAATGCTTTAACCAGCAACAGATTGAGTACCAAAAGTCTATATGTAAATAAGGAACCCTAGCTTTTCAAAGAGCCATATTGGACCAACAAATCCAAATCTGTCTGGAGCTGCAAAAATGTAAAAGTCTTATATAAGCTTTGTATTGCAACATGCGCTCTGAGTGTGTTAGCCCACTATAAAAAAGGACTATAAAGGCTTAAATAAGCATTAATGATTAAATGTTTATCATGGAGCAAATGTCACATCATGTGACTACTCGGCTGTATGGTATTTGGTGCTTTAAGTTTAAACTCCATTACATTATTATTGTGTTAGGTTTTATTGCATTGATCAAATTATAGAAATACAATAAGGAAATCAGATTTTTTTTATTGTTCCTTTTATTTTGCGGGTTTTGGGGGAATAAATGTGATTAAATTCTTGATCTAATTGGTATATATCGATATGTATTTGTTGTTAAACCTTGAGTTTCAAACGTGACGTCAGTGAGGACTGTTTCAGGAAAGGTTTTCAGTAAATAAATAACATATGTAAGTTGTATGTATCTAAAAAGGATCAGTAGGAATTGCAGCAGCAAGGTTTCTTTGCTATATTCTTGCGCCATTACTTCACCAGGTAAACACAGATCCTACCATCCGTGTCATACAGGGGATTGTACTAAACAAACAGTATTAGAGTATTCTTTAATCTGTTTATTTAAAGTGTGTGAGCTGAACTAGGCTGACCCCTAAAGGACAGGTTTATATTAATATGTAAACATTTTCTCTCTTTCAGCGAACTACAATGATCTTTACCAGTGGTCTGTGGACTGTTATCCAGAGTTCTGGGCAGAGGTGTGGCGCTTCTGTGGATTCGTCAGTTCCAAACCATATGAGGAGGTCAGTGCAGCAGAAAAAGACGATCAAATATGAAGTCGATCCAAGATGTTTCAGATTCTACCTTGTTCAGAAAAAACAACATGTCATAAAGCTTTGCCCTAAAATATCTGTTGCAATACTTTAAAACAAGATTTAACAGATTTTTTTGTCGTAAAATGTAATTCAGATGGAATCTAGCTGTGGATGGTTTGTACCATCCATGTATTAGGGCGCTAAACATTTCTATATTCTGTAGGGCTGAAGCATTTAATAAGATAAATGGTGATTAATAAATTAATTTAGTAATCGCTTAATCGTTAACTTTGGTAGAGAGACTCTAAAACATGCCTTTAGCTGACCGATCGGGTTAGGTTAGTTTATCTTTTTCCTGTAATAAATTTCAATTCATTTATTCCTGGATTTAAGGAAAGATTTTTGTCTGTATTAACTCATTCTAGCCTGTAAAAATGGACAAGCTAGAATGACATTGTGTTTCCTGGACGGGGACGCCTTTTACAGCTGCTTTTTGTATCTCTGCTTCTGTCTCCTTGAACTCCAGTCGGCCTCGGCAGATGGCTGCTCACACTGAGCCTGGTTCTGCTGGAGGTTTCTTCCTGTTAAAAGGGAGTTTTTCCTCTCCACTGTCGCTACAAGTGAGGGATTGCATTCGAGTAGAAATCTTTGAATCAATTTGACTGTATGATCTGGTGAACTATAAAGTGCCTTGAGATGACATGTTTTGAATTGACACTATATAAAAACATTGAAATGAATTAAGGGTAGAGCTAATTTATTTTAAAGTATTCTTCTTTTCACCATTGCTGCCAATGATTTTAGTGTAACTAAGTTTCAGGATGCATGCCCTTCCTTAAGGCAATAAATGAGGTGTTGATCGACACACCTCTTTTATACACGTGTCTATCACTGTCTTCTTGACCACGTAGACGTGTGTGGGACACAGTGATTAAGTCAGGCCAGCAGTAGTGCGCTGTGGGCGGGGCTACTTCCTCGCTGGCGGCTTGTTTGGACTTTTAAAAAACTGAGCTGTTTTATAGGTAAATATTAAACGTGCCAAACCACATATTGTATTTTAAGGGGAGTTGTTGAGTACGAAAAACTGAACAGACTGAAATGATTCGCTTTTTGATTCCTTTTCCTTTGTGTCTTTCACGTTGGGGGGGTTTCCAGGTGGTGGACGTTTCCAAGCGGATCTCAGATGTTCCAGAGTGGTTTAAAGGAGCTCGACTCAACTACGCCGAGAACCTGCTTAAGCACGCTGATCAGGACAAAGTGGCTCTTTACTGTGCAAGTAGGTAGATGGAAAATGCTGTTTCATGGTAGATGGTTATTTTAGTCACATGATACGAGGGGTGTTCAATAAGTAACCCCTGACCCACTTCCAGTTGTCTTATCTAGCTGAAATTGTGGATGTGCAATCATTTATATCTATGTCGATTAAGTGGCAAATTACAGCTTTGAATTAATTGTGGTTTCTAATTTACAGGTGTTTCAACTGAGTGGAGTTTTTGTCTTTCAAAGGACGCACACCACGGGAGACTTTTAATAAAACGAAAGTAACTTATGGCGATCACCATAAGTTTTTTGGTGTGCGTCTTTTCGAATGCAAAATCCTGATCGCTGTTCGAAACTCAGCAGGTTCCATTTTAGCTCGGTTCAAACACCCGTAAATCAGAAACCACAATTAGTACAGAGCTGTATTATTCCACTTAAATCTATATGGATATAAATATGCACTACGACTTTATGGTCGTAGTGCATATTTTCTAATTATCTTATTTTAAGACTAAAAATACTAATTTCATTGGCAAACTATCTCATTTACCTTCTCAAATTAAGGCAGTGGTTCCCAAAGTGTGGGGCGCGCCCCCTAGGGGGGGCGCAATGCCATTGCAGGGGGGGCGCGGGAAGCGGTATGAGTGAAGAAAAAAAAAAAAAAAAAAAAAAAAAAACAGCGCTTGCTTGACTGAGCATAATGGACAGTTGTGACACTGCAACCCAGATTTGAGAAGATCTACAGCAAAAAGCAGGCTCATTACAGCCACTGAAAAGATGGGAGGATTAAAGTACAAAGAAAAAACTCTCAGGGAGCTGTTCAATGTTTTCACTCCATTTTGCACAGAGGCTTTTTTATGTATAGATTATAGCAAAGTTAAATATTGTTACAAATAAAAAAAATATATATGTTTAAAATAACACAGACAACAAAGAATCCTCTTCTAATCTACAGTATAGAACTATGAAAAAAATACAGTTACACAAAAGTGTTCCACTGTAAAGATGGTGTAGTTTGTTTTGTTGCAACCTGAAGTGTGAAATAAACTTCAGTGGAGTTTGAAAACAAAATATGTGTATAGATTTATTATATCTGGTTGAACGATGTGTGTGCCCAGTTGATTCTTTTTTTTTTTTTTTTTTGGGGTCGGGGGGTTATGGGGGGGGGGGGGGGGGGGGGGGGGGGGCGTGGACATCTTATTGTAATCCAAAGGGGGGCCCAGAAGAAAATCTTTGGGAACCACTGAATTAAGGGTAAATACACTTAATTTGCTTATTTCTAGATCGTTTTTCCAGTGGACTCCTGAACGCTGCTCGTATGAGCAGGAAAAAGATTGAGAGTGTAGAGGAAGACTTGGGTCATGGGGTGGGGAGTGTCTGACGTCACTTGGTAATTGAATTATCTGCTGCTCCCTTCTCTGCTAGTCAATGTCATATACTAATAGATAGGCCCTTTATTGGCGTCTGTTTGTGTGTGTGCTCTCTGGAGAGTGTCTTGCCTAAGGCCAGCATCCCTGGGGAACTGTAATGTAATTGTAGAAGTAGCCATTGATCAGAAAGCTGTGGAGCCTCTGTGAAAGTCAGGGAGGTGTCACTCAGACTACTGTCTGCTCTGATGTTCTTACAACTTAAACAGTCGCCTGCAGTTTGTTTGTCATGTTTTCACGTGTCGATGTTAGTTTAGATGTGACCTACGGGGGAGCAATATTCAACAGTAAATTATTCACAAACTCCAATTAAATTTGTAATAAAAATGTGTGCACTGTTCTGTTTCCCGTACTGATTCTGCCTTGTGTCTCTGTGCACCAGGAGAAGGGAACGAGGAGATCAGGAAGGTGACATTCGGGGAACTGAGGCGTGATGTGGCGTTGTTTGCTGCAGCCATGAGGAAGATGGGTATTCGGACTGGAGACAGGGTTGTAGGTAAGTTTTAGTGGAACAGGAACCCCAGCAACATGTGGAAGACATATTCTGCACAGCAGACAGAAGGGTACATCCTCTCCATGCTTTGCGTCATAGATTCATATTATAAAGCTTTTCTGCGTTGATGGAATGAGGGGCGGAGCTTTAGTACAAAAGAAAACCCTCAACAGATTTGGACATTTTAATGCCTAGATGCGCAAAGCTGGTGGAGAAATACCTTCAAAGACGTGATGAAATTGCAGCAAAATATTGATTTGGAAAGTATTCAATTAGCAGGGGGTTAAATTCAAACTTGCAATCACTCTTTAGTTTTCTTTTACTAATTAAATTAGATATACCTCTATACCAACTCTGACCTCTTCTCATATCCTTTCTCTCTGCAGCACGCTGCAGCAGGAGTTGGTTGTGTGTATTCCCTGGTAATGAGGGAAGGTTTTTTGGCGCAAGTTTCAGCTCTCCATGAATGTCACCGTTTATTTATTCAAAGTTGATATTTGTATAAGGAGGGGCGGCTGAGGCTGCATATTTTTCCTCAGCACCTCATGTTGTTTTATATTCATACCGATCCAATCATTTATAAAAGGGACGTCGAACACTTCAGCATGCCTCAGGATTAAAATGGATGTCGAAGCTTTCAGTTGCAAAAAGTTTGCTACATTTCAGGGGTTTTCAGTCCTAATAGTGAGTCCCTGGTGCGTCTGCTCTCACTGTGGTACAAACTTTTACATAAAGCTGAAGTTCAGCTTGATTTCTCGCATGCAGTTCTCCAGCCGACTAAAATTTTTTCCTGAAATCTGTTTTATTATTACAGAGTTATTCATGGATTCACAAATAAGCCATTTAAAGAAGTGTTTAACAAGTCTGCACTAATAATACACTTTACACAACTTGTAATAATGTAAGAGATGTAAGATGTAAGAGTCTGCAGAGATCCTTCATATGTTGGAGATGGATAGGGTTAGAGTTAGTGCTTTAACCTGTCTAACCGGCCATTAACAGCAGTTTCAATTGATTTGGGGTTTTTTGCATCAAATTTTAAAATGTTTAAATGTGTAAAAGTTATTTCTGTCTGCACATTTTCTTTTGTGCTCATTTTTCTCTAGTAATAAAATATTTTAAAAAGTTCTTTTTTTATATATATATACTTTACAGACATGAGTATACGTTAAATAATTGCACCTCTGTCAACCAGGAATATCCAGTTATCAATTACAAAACATGGATGAATGGCCAAACATTAATAATAATTTCATTATTATTAATGTTTTGCCCTCTGGTTTTCGTAATGTTGCTAATTAATGCGCACAGAGTTCCCAAAGAACCGTTTTGCAAGCTTGTGCAGAGAGCTAAAACAAGATATTTTTTCCAAAAGCTGTTTTCAAACCTTGGTGGAGCCGATAATAAACACACCAGCAGCATGTCTTAGGAGTTTTGTTTGGAGCTTTAGTAATACTGGTTTAAAAATGCCTTTCTACTGAAGTTAGCTGACTCATGTGCCTTCTTAGGTGATGGTGGATGTTGTAGTCCTTTAAAATCTGCTGAAAACAAGCTGCTATTATCAAATCATTTGTTCGGCTTAGTGGATGAAAGCTTCTTACTTTATGCTTAGTTTTAAGATGGACATCGAAGGGAATTCAAGAGCTAAAGCACTAAAGATTTCATTAGATAAAACGGGAAGCTTTGTGTGAAAAGAGGGTCTGAAAAAAAAAAACAGACCAAAAAGGAAAAGAAACCCTGGCTTATGCTTTGTTTTCCTCCATCTCAATAATTGTCCTCCCTTTAATGCATGTTGGACGCAGAGATGTCCTTGTCCTCAGATTGCATCTAAAATGTTTTGTCAATGTCCGCAGTCTAAAAGCTGTATAAGCACTTAGCTGATGAAATCAGCTTTGCTTTACAACAGAACACGTCCGACCGCGAGCATTTTTCATTCATACAGAGTTTAGTTTCCTTACTTTATGTTTGGATCAGATTTCATCCCTACATTAAATATTTGTTTGTTTTAAGAACCCCCTCACCATAATATTACATCTATAAATACAGATATTAATAGTTATCTAAAGTGTTTATGTTTTAAATAAGTGTGCGTGGCTAAACCATTAAGCCTCGCCCGTGCAGCATAGCAAAACGGTGATTCATCACAAAAAGCCACGAAGCCATCAAATAAGTTGTTGTAGCGAGATCATGATTCATGATGCAATTTTTCCTGGTCTATTGTATGCTGGTAATATATGACAGGAGCCGGTGTTGCAGGGCGGTGATCCGTCAGCCCAACGTGTCATCCCTACCGTAATGAGCTTCCTGGTTACAGCAGCAACCAGACGGCGCTGATAAGTCATGATTCATCACAAGTCGCCGTTCATTTGCTGTTTGCCTTTGACCGTTCGGATCACTTGGTTGGAACTACTGGCTGTGTTGTACTCTTAGTTGATCAGATTAGAGGTCTGTTATCAGTGAGACAGCCCTCTGTGTAAAGGTAGCGTGAGAGCTTCCATGTTGAGCATGAGTAATCTCATTTATTAGGCGATAAGGTTTGGATTCACTGAAATAAAACCTCAAGCAGATCAGAATGTGAAAGCCTGGATAAACATGTAATGTTGGAGAGTATTTAGGAGAGACTTGGTCCAACTGTAGGGAGATAAAGATAAACTTTAATTGCACAGGTTTTTATTATGGCAAGAATGTTTGATTGAGTGTCGTCTTTGTTTTCCATTAGGCAGCTGTCGGTTAACTTATTGCTTGTATAAACAAGGAAACGATTTGAATATTTCCTCTGGTCATTATTTCTCTTTTTTAATCAAAGGAACAAGCTATTGAGTTTTATTTTAAAATATGTTTGAAATAAAAAAACTAAACCGATCTCTTTTTTTCTCTAATCGAGATTCTGACTTAATTTATTCAGAGTTTCTGCGGGTCATTAAAAATCATTAAAGGTATTACATAGTTTTTTTTTTTATTAAGGCCTTAATTGGCATTAAAATTCATTAAATGTGTTTATTGTTGCATTTAAAAAAAACAATTTCGTCAGACATATTAAATCATGATATATTTACGTGGAACTGCTTCCGGTTAATTGCAAAGATGTATGTTCGGAAAAGAAGCTTGAGTCGGAGAAAAAGCTAGAGAATGGGGAAGAATGCCAATTTCAAGAAAAGTGGTTGGAAAACGAGGAATTCGGGGCATGGCTGCAGCCTGTTGATGGATACCTGTTGGTTGCATTAAAAGTATTTCTAAGAGCATTAAAAAGCATTAAATTAGAGTTATTCATTCCTGTATAAACCCTATTATTACAAATTACATGAATTTGACATATTTTCTCTGTACTCATCCTTGAAGCCACTTGTTGTAATATTTTAATCTGTTTTACCTCTTATTTTTTCTTGTGTTTGTCTACAAGTCTTGAGCTGCTGATGCTACAGAGTAAATAAAAATAATCTCACAGTGAAAGGTACAAAGATTTCCAACCTTTGTTGACAGTGTTTCCATATTTTTACTGCAAAAGGTAATAATATGAGGCAATCAACCTTTTTAATGAAGTGAAAGTATACCTTTTAAGATGGAAATCATTTTAGTCTTTTTTTTTCAAGAAGGTAAAAACAAAACAAAATGAAACATGCAACTAATTACAAGATGTGTTTATCTAGAGTATATATGTGTGGAATGGCTAAAGGAAAGAAAGCTATTGCACATAACGTCCATATTTCTGCTCTCTGATCATCAGTGATCATTAATACTCGTGCGGGTTCTCTGGAACGGCGTTGTGGGGCCGCCGTCTCTGCTGAGACGCTCAGACCTTCCTTTCCCTAGACTGCTACTCCAGCTGGTTTAGAGGAAGCCTGACTGCTTCCAGGGCCGGCCGAGAAAAATCATTTCTCCAGCTTGTCCTGGGTCTTCCCCTGAACGCCTCCTCCTGGTGGGACAGGCCATGAACAGCTTCCATGGGAGGCGTCCAGGGGGGCATCTGAAACAGATGTTCCAGATTCCCCAGCTGACTCCTCCTGATGGGGGAGAGAAGCGGCTCTACTCTTGGCTGTAAAGTTTTTTTTGGGGTTGAACAACTATTTGAGAGTCATGTTTGGAAAATAAACGCTTGACTTTCCATGAGACTCCCGCAACGTTCGGAATGACCACTGATCTGGTTCTGGGTTTGGGTTCCTCCTTTTCACCTTTCACCACTTTATACGGCTGAGTTTACCTGCAGCTCATCAGCCTGAAGAAGTTTATTAGAGATGAAGCATTACATCAATTAAGAGCCCATCCAAAAGTTTTTATTCTCTTTCTACCTGGATTATCGAGATGCATGAGGGCGTTGCAGAACAACTTCTGTTTTTAGAGGAAGTTTAGGCTACTGCAACATTTTCCAAGTCAATACTCCATTAAAAACTACATTTTTACCATCTTTAAGTTCAAAATTTAACAAATAGGTTAATTTCTACAGTAGTTTCTGGTAATCCTAAGACAATATTCTGCAGTTACTGACGCATGAGAAATATTCCAGTATGATCTTGATTAAAGGGTCTTTTTTTTTTCTTCAGATATACTTCTTTAATTATAACTAATTTTATTTACTTTTTGTCATTAAAATGAGTATTTACATGTTCTATATATTGATCTTATTAATATTGATGGATCACACTTATTCGTCACCCCTTTGTTTATTCACTACTAAAAATATGTTGGATGCAAGGAATTCTTTTACGTCTTTAAGTTTTGTTCTTCTTCTTTTTCGCCCCTCAGGTTACCTGCCCAATGGCATCCATGCAGTAGAAGCCATGTTGGCGGCAGCCAGCATCGGGGCCATTTGGAGCTCCACATCGGTCGACTTTGGGGTTAATGTAAGTAACTATATCTTGGAGTCTGTTTCTAAACTATGACTTTTGATCTCTAATGTATTTTAATCAAAAATGTGCTAAATCAGGTTAAAATAGTCTTTTGGGTATACCGTCCTATAATTAGTGCTGGAGGAATTTAGTAGTTAGTTTTATTATTTTTTAAATATTGTTATTCTTTCTTTTCACAAAAGTAATTCTTGGTACTGAGAAGATGTCTGCATTTTTTTAAAAACTTTACCCAAAAGCTTCTTATGTTAAGACTTTGCTGTCAAGAAGTTTCTACTCTCTGTATCAGGTTGTTACTGCCCCCTCTGGATGATCTGAGAATTACGGAGCCCCTCTGATGACATGGTCTAAAAAAAATTTTAATTGTGGCCACGAAGTAGTACTTCGAAATACTACTTCGTGGCCACAATTAAACATTTTTTTTGACCATGTCATCAGAGGGGCTCTGTAGAGAATTGCATCCTAGTAGCCTAATGAGAACTGCTGCTTTCATGCCCTTAGCTGGGATTTTGGTTTACCGTGTTGATATCGATAGTATGGCTTAAAAACGTTGGTCAAACATATATTTTGTTTTCATTTTCTGCATATTTATTCTGTTTAAAGTTGAACTAGACTGTGATTCATCACAATACCCAGAAAGTCAGTAAACAAGCCGTTGTAGCGAGATCATGATTCATGATGCAGTTTTTCTTGGTTTACTTTAGGAGGGTGTTTTATGAAACGAGCCCATGTACCATTAAGGTGATCTGTCAGCCCAATGTGTCATCCTGTTTCCTGAAGGATTTTAGTGCATTACTTGTCTTTACCCACAGACTGGTCTTAATTAAAGTTTTTTTTCTTTTCTTCCTTCCAGGGTGTTCTAGACAGATTTTCTCAAATTCAGCCCAAACTGATCTTCTCAGTAGCTGCTGTGGTTTACAACGGGAAAACGCACGACCACATGGAAAAACTGATAAACGTTGTTAAAGGTTGGGTTGTTAAATAAGTTTTAATGTGATCTAATTTTTATTTTTTTAAGTTTGAGTTAAACCTACTAGAATTTCTCTTTTTTTGTTGGCATTCAAAACACTGCCAACAGATCTGAATAGCTAATTTATGTAATTGAGTTCTTCCAACAGTAAGATTTTAAAAATATATGAAAGAGGAACAATTATCAGTTACATTCTGTTAATCCTGTCAGATTTTTTTGGCTTCTAGATGAATGCACATGGATAATAGAAACAATCTGTTTCTTCCCCTCCCTCCAGGTTTACCCGACCTGAATAAAGTAGTCGTGATTCCCTACGTTTTGTCCAAGGAAGAGACCAACCTCTCCAAAATTCCCAACAGGTTTGTGCTAATAGGGTTTTGTTGTTTAAGTTTCAAATGTCACAAAACACATGTAAATCAATATGTTTGGTATAATTTTCATCTCTGATATAATATGTTTTATTCTTTATATGCAGCGAGTTTCTTGATGACTTTTTGGCATCTGGAAGAGGCGAAGGAGACCAGTTCCCTCAGCTGGAGTTTGAGCAGCTTCCGTTCAACCATCCTCTGTTCATCATGTACTCGTCGGGAACGACAGGAGCTCCTAAATGCATGGTCCATTCAGCCGGGGTAAGAAAAAAACATTTCTTTTCCAGTGCCTGACCTGTCGGTGTCTCATGCTGTGCGATTATTTGCTTTTTGTGCCGCCTAACTGTTGTGCTTTGGAGTTCATAATTTTGAATATTTTAGAAGAGTTAGACCCAGCTGTTCCGCAGACTGAATTAAGCAGCTTGTATTCACATCTGCGACTGAGCTCTCCTGGGGGAAAACCCTTATGTGCCATCGGAGTATCAGTTGAAACCCCTGAAGGCTCTTTTTTTTATTTATTTTTTATTTGTTTTTATTTTATTTCACTTGTTTGAACATGATTTTCTATCTTTATGCAATGATGTTAATAATGGCTGCAGAAATCCTGAAAAAATTGAATGTTTTCTCTTTTACAGTTGCTGTATCTGTCAGTTTCACTAACTTAATGAAGTTTGTTTTATAACCAGCAGATTCTCATGTTTTGAGTGAAATCCCAGCAGCTCTTATCTACAAGCATCAGATCCAATTTTCTAATTAACCCTTTGTTTGCTTACCTTAACTTGACCAAATATGGCCGAGCGCTGACCCTGAAGCGACTCACTGTTGTCACGTCGATGCATCGACTGATCTACTGCTGCTTGTAATTGCAGTAGAGTTTATTTATTTATTTTTTTTAAAGGTCGGACTTAATCTTGCAAACAAACCAGCATTCAGTGATGCAAAAGACTGAGCGCCTGAGCCAATTTTAATGCAAGTGACAAGCGACCTCCCTTGGAGATGGGAAATTAGCAAAAGGCTTTGCATGGTGCCTCATTTTCGTTACCTATGGTCAGGTGACAACAAGCCTCCTGACAGCAAAAACAAACAACAAAAAAAAAAAAAAGGACTTAGAAAAGTTTGTTAAAATTGCTACTTCACAGCTGTGTCTCTTCAGTAAATGGTTCATTTAGAGATTTCCTCTGCTTTTGTTTTTTTTAGTTGCATCTAAATCCCATCAGTGATTTTCAAGGCCTAAATTTTAGAATCTAAAGTTAATTTGTTTGAAGTTTCTCTCTGTAATGATTCCATTACCTGTACTCAGAGCTAGATGATACATTTATATCACAGTATAGTTCTTCATTTCAATTGGCAACAATGAAATAACAAGTGCCTGCACACTTATAAAGCTGCTCCGATGTAAGGTTTAAAAAAAACTGTACAAACCAAGAACGTCAGTCACTGAGACATGCTGTAATATCAGGTTATAATGTGTATTGAAATATCCAAAATGTTACATCACTTTTTATTGAATTAAATTATGTTATAGTATGTATGGATATTGAATTATTGTCCAGCCTTAGATGTAGCTAGAAGATGTGAGCACTTTGAGTTTTTTAGAAAAGTACATAAATCATTGAAGCTAACATACAGGTTTGATAAATCCTGCCTCATTAGATAATAAAAAGCATGTCACGGTAAAAATCATCAACAGTTGGTCCTAAAGGATCATTTTTAAAGTGTGGAATCTGGAAAGTGCAGGACAGGGCTTTTTGTGATTCCTCATGAGGGAACTAGTGAGGGGCCTCTGATCTGGCTAATTGATACAGACCCGATTAAATTTAACTGGGTAGAATCACAGGGATGGTTTAAGACGGATAAAATGACATTAAATATTTAAAAAAAAGTCCCATAATTATAAAGATCTCCCTTTTAATAACTGGTAAAAAAGATGATGTACATCAGACTAGCCTTTTAGTTATGGCTAGCTTCCACCACTCCAGTGATGTGCTTACTTTTTTTTAACACAAGCTTGTGGTGCTAAATTAAATTTTCTAACACAGATAGGAGAAATACTTCCTGATAATAACTTCCCAGAATCCCATTTTTGCTCAGGTTAACTATCCAGTGGGACAAAGATCTGTTTCATTTTCAAAAAAAAGAGAGAAAAAAAAAAACATATTTTAGGGACTGAATGTCTCGGCACAGATCTGGAATCTTCAGTATTTGATGAATAAAAGTAATTCTGCGAAGAAGAGAGGACCCAAATTCATTCAGCTTGATATAAAACCATTACCATTCAGGTTTTCATACTTTTTACTATAGGGCCTAATTGGCTTGGAAGCTTGATAACACCATTTTATTTTAATTAAAAGGTTTTTTTTATTCACTCAGACTGTTTTTTCTGACATGATAATTAGGTTTATCTGATACATGTGACACAAAACAGAAGAAGGAATAAAGAGATCTGTAAGGGGACACATGTTAAGACCACTTCATACTACTTTTTTAACCACCAAAGCATAAATTATTTTGTTAACCTTATTGAATTTTATTTTTTTTAAGATAGGTTACACAAGACGTGTCAACACAGATTAAGATGTTACATGCTTTAAAGTCCCTTAAGGAAAATATGAGATATCTGGCATTAGGCTTTAACAATGAGAAAAACTCGGAACGCACAACACATACTGATTGGCTGCGTTACTTGTTTAAACATAAGACTTTTAGTATTTATGATACTAGAATGGATCTGTGTCTTTAAGACAGAGCTTTCTGTTTCTTGAAGAAATTTACACAAGATAAGCTTTTAAGTTTCTCGATATTTAATCAATGATATCTCCTTGTATCAACACAACAGCTATAGTCAGAAACATTTTTCTGTCGTATCTTACATCACCACAAGATGGCAGCAGACCTCCATGATCGGAGCAGCGGTTTTTGTTCCTTTTGAATTTAAAATTTCAGTCTTAGAGGTGGCATGTCAGATAAATGTGGTTTAGAAGAAAATTAATATGTAGAAAAATAACACTTTCCACATTTTCTTCTGAATACTCCAACTCAAACATTTTAGTGTTAAAAAAATCATTTTATTCTCAATTTTTCAACATTTGCTGGAGTTTTTCAATCTAAACTGCCTCAATTTGAGATGTTTTTTTTTTCTCCTTTACCACCTACACATTTTACCTTCTCTCCCTCCTATTTTTCCTCTCTCTCTTTGTCCCCTTCTCCCATCTCTTTCCTTTGTGCTTCCTCCCTCTTTGCATCCGGCCGATAATTGGGCCGTAATGCACTGCCGGAATACATGTCGTATTGTGACAATGGCAGTCCTAGGTGCATCAGCCAATTAGCCGCAGTAGTGTTCTGCCTTCTGCTTTGTTACAGCTCTGTTAACATCCTGCCAGTGACAAAATGGCACAGAACTTATGGTGGGAGTGGCAGCTGAGCCTCAACTAAGTTTCTGTGCAAAATTGTATTCACACACATGCAGGTGAAGCACCTGTTTAAAAAGAACGAGGGGAGCGCAGACCTGAACACAAATGCTTACTACAGTTCACTCTGCACAAGCTATAATGACCTTACCAACTGTGAAGAGCTGCAGACCCCAACCTTTCCAAAAATAGTTTGGTTTGTTTAACAAGCATTGACTGTCGGCTGGGGTTATGAGCACGGATTTTTGTGGTTTGAAAAGAGGATGTGCTGTTTGGACTAACAGTATACCTTAAGAAAAAAATGTAATCGGTCACAAGTTTCACCACAATTGTTTGATTTAAAGTGAAATGGACAAAACGGCTGGAGAGGACCCACTGTTTCTGTTCTGGCTATTGAGAGAAGCTCATCTACACGTCTTTGCAATTTGTTCCAGTAATGGCGGATGGTATTGTTAAAACTATATTTAGCTGTTTTATTCAATTGAACTTAATTTATTCTTTCATTGCTTATTTCTTTCCAAATTAATGATCATAATTTCATGAAAATAACAATATTACACTGAAAAAACCACCTTCACCATAAATAAGATCAGCTGTATTGTTAAAGATGCCATTATGTGAAAAAGTGCAAATTCCTTCAATGCTCTTACTTTATATTAATCTTAGACTTGTGTTTGTAAAGCCATTAAGTCTGATCTGTGTTTCTGCATCGTTTCCTCTTTGCTGCTGCAACAAGCTTTATTGTTCAAAAGTGCCTTATAAATAAACTGGTAACAGGAAATCAAGGTCATAAAAAAGCCGATACACTCTAATGAAGTCGCTCACTTCCTCGTCTCTTTAGGGCACTCTCATCCAGCACTTGAAGGAACACGTTCTCCATGGCAACATGACCTCCAACGATGTCATCATTTACTACACCACCGTGAGTTATTGTTCTCTTCTTTTTTCATTACCATTAATGTGTTTGAAGCCCCCAAAATTTTAACTTGGGAGACATTTATTCTGAGGCTTGTTGCACCAAATTTTCTGTTTCGGTTTCTTTCTGAAGGTTTTAAAAGTTTGTGGCCCATAAAAAGCTGATGTTATTACACAATCTCAACACATTTCCTTTTCATTTCACTGCAACAGATCAGAAGTAGGATTCATGCTGGTAGAGCACACAGTAATTTCCACATTTCGTTTTTTTTTTTTTTTTTTTTTTTTTTTTTTTAAAGAGGTGTTCACATGAAGCCTGGAAAAAAAAAACTACAACTAGAAACTCTATTGCCAGAATTGTTGCTAATTGGAGCTTTTTTGTTTCCTTTATCAAATTTAGTTGTTGAGCAAAGCTTCTTCTATTGATTTTGTGGTATGATGTGCAAACATTTCTTTTCTCTGTTGTTCAGATGATTTGATATGCTGTAGAGAGCCATCAAATTCCACTGGAAGACCTTATCTACCCCTTATTTTGACTGAAAACATCCAGCTGTGTCTAAAAAAATAAACATGTAGAACTGATTTATCATTAAAGCTTTGTTTTTGAGTGGCCCTTGATCACAATTCAAGAATAACTTATTTCGGTTCACCAGCTTTTTGGAGCACATTTAAAAAAAAATGATAGGGTGCAATTTTCTCTGATTTGTAGCTTAAAAAAACAATAAATATAAAATTAAATATTCTAAAAGTGGACAAAAATAAAGCACTAGACAAATATTTATCTTTTATCTGCAAAATATTTGCCTTTGGTTTGATTTAATAGTAAAAAGAGCCACAACATTAACTAAAATGCAGACTTGGAGGCACTGATGTATTTGTCTAGGATAAATAAGTGAGTTGGCCAAGTTTTGTTGTTGTTGCTAAATTCTTAGCTTATTTTTAAATGGGTAAAAAAATAAAAAAAAATAAAAATATATATATATATATATATATATATATATATACACTATATTGCCAAAAGTATTTGCTCACCCATCCAAATTATTGGAATCAGGTGTTCCAATCACTTCCATGGCCACAGGTGTATAAATTCAAGCACCTAGGCATGCAGACTGTTTTTACAAACATTTGTGAAAGAATGGGTCGCTCTCAGGAGCTCAGTGAATTCCAGCGTGGAACTGTGATAGGATGCCACCTGTGCAACAAATCCAGTCGTGAAATTTCCTCGCTCCTAAATATTCCACAGTCAACTGTCAGCTGTATTATAAGAAAATGGAAGTGTTTGGGAACGACAGCAACTCAGCCACGAAGTGGTAGGCCACGTAAACTGACGGAGCGGGGTCAGCGGATGCTGACGCGCATAGTGCGAAGAGGTCGCCAACTTTCTGCAGAGTCAATCACTACAGACCTCCAAACTTCATGTGGCCTTCAGATTAGCTCAAGAACAGTGCGCAGAGAGCTTCATGGAATGGGTTTCCATGGTCGAGCAGCTGCATCCAAGCCATACATCACCAAGTGCAATGCAAAGCGTCGGATGCGGTGGTGTAAAGCACGCCGCCACTGGACTCTAGAGCAGTGGAGACGCGTTCTCTGGAGTGACGAATCGCGCTTCTCCATCTGGCAATCTGATGGACGGGTCTGGGTTTGGCGGTTGCCAGGAGAACGGTACTTGTCTGACTGCATTGTGCCAAGTGTAAAGTTTGTTGGAGGGGGGATTATGGTGTGGGGTTGTTTTTCAGGAGCTGGGCTTGGCCCCTTAGTTCCAGTGAAAGGAACTCTGAATGCTTCAGCATCCCAAGACATTTTGGACAATTCCATGCTCCCAACTTTGTGGGAACAGTTTGGAGCTGGCCCCTTCCTCTTCCAACATGACTGTGCACCAGTGCACAAAGCAAGGTCCATAAAGACATGGATGACAGAGTCTGGTGTGGATGAACTTGACTGGCCTGCACAGAGTCCTGACCTCAACCCGATAGAACACCTTTGGGATGAATTAGAGCGGAGACTGAGAGCCAGGCCTTCTCGTCCAACATCAGTGTGCGACCTCACAAATGCGCTTCTGGAAGAATGGTCAAAAATTCCCATAAACACACTCCTAAACCTTGTGGACAGCCTTCCCAGAAGAGTTGAAGCTGTTCTAGCTGCAAAGGGTGGACCGACGTCATATTGAACCCTATGGATTAGGAACGGGATGTCACTTAAGCTCATATGTGAGTCAAGGCAGGTGAGCAAATACTTTTGGCAATATAGTGTATATATATATATATATCATCAGCTTAATACTTCGCTCACAGATATTGTTAATTAACCGTGCTTGTTTAAAATTCTCTACAAAAATCAGCACAAAAACAATGAGATAGAAACAGCTGAATGAATAAAACAGACAGAAACAGTATGAGCATAAATAACTGGATATTGACTGAAAGTTATTTCCTCTGGTTTATGACCCTATTTTCATGCTGTACATGCCTTTGAATCCTGATGTGAGCTGTCATTGATGACACACTGCTCTGAAAGCAAATGTGCATTCATCTCTTTCTCTCATATACAAGGAACTTCACTGCAGTTTTCAACAGAAAGGGAACAGAAAACACACCATTAAATATCCAAACACTCCTACAAACTGAGATAAAACGTAAAACTAACGCCTGGTTTGCTCTTCAATAAAATATTGTACTGGATCTTCTCCAGTGTGCTGTCTTGATATGAAATATTTCTGTCACACCGTGTGATGGAAGATGCAAGACTGCACGATTTGTTTCATACAGCTGAATCATGTCGGGAGAATCTGACAGATATCTGTTCAACAGTGAATGGGATCTAAGCGGATGTTGTTGCTTCAAATAAAGGGACGATGAGGACGAAGACAAGGGAGACAGCTGTGGAATTGCTCATGGGCAGAGGACCACAATAATAGTATCGTGATAGCACTAGCAGTTTTACTGGACTACTTTCATAGAAGAATGTCCGACAGCTGGGTCAATTAGTTTTTGAGGGTAACTCCGGCTCTGAGAGCGTTAAACGAAAACACGCTGATGGTTCAATCCGTTTTTCTGTGATTGTCAGCTTTGCCTCCGCGAGTTCTTAAAGTGTGAAGAAGTCAAAGAATTTGGAATTAGCTTGTAATATTTTCCAGGTCTGGGAAAGTTCAAAAAGTTTTGTCTGTTTTAGACTTTCTCTCCATCTTCTATGGGTCAGCATAAATACTGCATTTACATAGTCATGATATTTACAAAAGTTATATTTCATTACATTATCTCTGCCAGATAGCATCTCACTTTTAACATTTTACCATTCAGTGTTCTGCTTTTGGTGTAGTAACTACATGCATTAATTCAACGTTGAATGCAAAGCTATTTAAACCCTGTTTGGAATGAAGAAAGCTTTAAAATCTTGTTGAAATGGACCTGTGACATTTTAAACTGGAATTGGTTAAAATGCTTACTCTTATGAACATATGCGAGTTAAAATACTTGTTGCTGAATATTTACTTACAAACTTCTAGATTAAAGCATATTCAAAATAAATAAACCATGATATAAAACAAATTATTATGTATTGTTTAAATACTGTAAAATTTGTACACTTTGGAAAATTGTGAGTGATCGCTAAAAAAAATCACTAAAGCAGATTTTTTTTTTTAGAAATCATACCAGCAGAATAAAAGAATCTAACTTATAATAAATTCACAATTGTTCAATAATCTTAAGTCTTTATTTGAAGTAAAAGATTTAAGTGGTGCGAAAAGAGCAAAAAAAATGTATCAAGTTGTTTTGTAAAGTATGGAAGCTGTCATTAGGAATAATTCAATTCAGTTTATTTATATAGCGGCAATTCACAACACATGTCATCTCAAGGCACTTTACAGTTCACCAGATCACACAGTCAAATTGATTCAAAGTTTTCTATCTAAGGAAAGCCAGTTGATTGCATTGACTCATTGACTCTGATGCAATCCCTCACACTAATCGTGCTTGTAGCGACAGTGGAGAGGAAAAACTCCCTTCTAACAGGAAGAAACCTCCAGCAGAACCAGACTCAGTGTGAGCGGCCATCTGCCGAGGCCGACTGGGGTGACTGATGATGACTGAACTGCTATTAAGATGCTTGTGGTTAACAAGGAAACGGTGTTGAATAGTCTGGAAGTTTAAAATGGAACATGTAAAAAGTCTGGTTTTTATATCAAGGGAGAAAATATGATCAAAGAGATGTACGATTTCCATTGAATTTAATGACTAAAACTGCAGCTTTAAATAAACTTTTAAACAAACAATTTTTTTAACATGGTTTAATTTCAGCAGATAAATTATGCCATGCTTTTTTGCACAGTTACATCATTGGCTGAACCAGTTTTTTTTTTTTTCCAAACCTGTAGTTTATTAGAAATTATGAAAATAACGTTTTTCTTCCTGCATCAGCAGAAATTCCAACAATAAAATGAAACTCATTACGCTGACAAGCTTTTCTACGTAATAACACAGTGCTTTATTATGATCATTTAAAATCAAGTCGTAATCCCTGAGAACAAATCTGACCCGGTTTTCATCAAACTCAGAACCCAACTATGCTCACCTCCATGTCTTGTTAAAACTCTACCTTCTACATCAATCCTCTTTATTTCCCCTCTTTTTGCACAAGGAAACCTGATTAAAAAGGTACATTGCTGACGGACGATATGAAGCTGACTCTGCAGCATCAGAAAATCATTACCAGCAGCTTTAAAATGAAAGGTGCTTGTTCAAATAAAAGGAATAATATTTGATGTGCAGAAATGTTTATATACATGTGGCAAACAGGTCAACTAATAGTGAAAGAAACATATCACTTCCTTTTAACTTTTTAAATTGAACATTTTATTTTACTATTAAAAGTGATGTAATCCAGTTATTCATTTAAAATGCTGCATATTTAGGCTTTAAAGAAACGATTCTGTTCAGCTGCTCGTCACAAATCTCTGCAAATATGAGGTTCTGGCTGCAGTTGACAATTGATCTTCTTTCAACAAAGTAATCAGCTGTCTGAACAAAAGTTCATATACCACTTGGTATTGTTAAAGCTGCTGTTTTAGTCCAGTAGATGCTTTTCACGGAGTGGAATCAATATTTGCATTATTAGTACCAACGGTGAACAGTGCCAAAACCCTACCGCAGCATGCTGCCAAATGAGAAACGCAATCATGTGAATCGCTGTCTGCGGGAGCCGTCCATTTTGCTACCGTCTGCTTTATCCATGATGATGACAAAAGGAGTGTTTGTTTCAGATAACTTATCACCGTTGTTGGATCTCTGTCTATGTGTGTTCTTTTAGACCGGGTGGATGATGTGGAACTGGCTGGTGTCTGCTCTGGCAGTGGGGGCCTCAGTGGTTTTATACGATGGTTCACCACTAATGCCAACAGCCAATGTGCTGTGGAACCTGACAGACAAGCTGGGGTGAGTTAGCAGCACACAAATACACAAAAATAAACACACAACTTGAAGATTGGGGCCAAAGAAAAACAAGGTTGCAGGAATGTTGTTTTGCTGTATGGTCAAATAGGATCATCCGAGGTAGTGAGGAATATGAGGCTGGAAGGAAAGAAAGTTTTCTTTGAAATTGTCCATTAATTGTTGGGGAACATGATTAGCATCCCTGGTAAAATGTGTAAATATCCTCAAGAAACTGTCACAGAAAAAAAAAAAAAAACGACAATTAAATCCATCTTTTAAATTTAGTACATTTATTCAAAGGTTTGCAAAACACAGTATTAATACACAGATTTTTAAAATGAAATAACTGGAACTAAACCTAAACACCAGTTTGTATAAAAAGGAATCAAACTAAAAGATTTTGAAGCTGACTTTCTTTTTCACCTCCCTAATCTGATCAGAGCAGAAATAAATCTTTTTTTTTTTTTATCCACGTACTTTTAAGCAGAGATTAATTTCTCCAACTTGGCCGCTCTTTAATTGTATATGACAGCCTTTTCTATTTAATTCAGGCAGTGTGTGAACCAAGCAAAACTTCTGATAACCTATTTCTAAGATCAATGTAATTCAGCAGCAAAAATCTTGTATGTTCCATCGATGATCATATGGTCATATTTCAGTCTTTATGTATTATTATGATTTGTAAGCTCGATTTCACATTTCCAATAAAAGTAATCATAAAATTTTCTTAGAATGAATTAAACCCCCCCCTCTCCCCAATGTCGGAGAAAGTTCAGCACAGTGATGGAAATACAAATTAGGTTTGGTTGTAGGAAAAAAAAAAAACATCTAAATAATGATTAGTTTTTTCTTTAACCAACAGAATTAATTAAGCGCTTCTCTAATTGAGAAGTTGTACATGCATGCAAGCAAGAGGATGGCCATGAATAAAGATTTGTGCAGGGTTTAATGTGCAATTAGATGGCTGATCCAAATTTCTCAGTAAGCTTATATTTTCCATTAACTCATTTATTATGTATTGAAATTGATGAAAGAGGAGAAAAAAAAGGTTATTACACAACAGTTAAAAGGGAAAGCATGGAACTAGAGAAAGTGTTGAAAATGTATTTTGACACTAATAATACAAAGAAAGTGGTTTCAGATTTTATAGTTCTTTATATCTGAAACTAAGGAGTAAAATGTACTTCTAAAATGATAGACAAAAAAACATGTACTAAAAATTGTGGATTTCAGAATTTCAAAAAAGCTGATAAATTTAGTAGTAGTTTTTATTAGAGCTTAATGTGCAAAATATTTAACCCATTTTTCAGTTCTTTTTGTTTTTCCCACAGTGACACAATAGCAAGAAAATATTATTTGATTTATTTATTTATCCTGAGAAATCTAGCTGGCAGTCTGCTACTTCACCTGTTAAGTCTAGTTTTAAACCACAGGTGCCTTTATTACAATGCTCGCTGTCGATCCTTTAGTATTTAGACTTCAAACTCTTCATCCTTTCTAAAAGCCAAATTAATTTTTTTCCTGTTAAATCTAAAAGCAGTCTTTCAGATTGCTGAACAGCAAACAACTGTGGGATGTCAGTGATGCGATTTGCAGTCTCATAAATTTATTTTGAAACCACAAAATTTTGAACTGGAGTTATACTTGAGTAACCAAAGCATATCTACCCTCAAAACCCACCCGATCTCGAGCGACCGTTTTCAAACCGTTTATACCTAATAACTCAGAACGCGTGAAAATTACAACAGTAACATTTTTACCAATATAGACATGTTTGAATTGTGGAGAATCTAAGCTTTCCAAGGATTTCTACCACCAAGTTTCACACAGCGAGCACCAAAGCACAACTAACACAGATACAGCAGCATGTCAAAATGTAAACATTACAAAGCAGCCACAACAACATACCTTTGAAGGCATCTAGAAGCCGTTTTATAAACCCAGTCTTCAATTATTTGTACACCATTCGTCCATAAGGGTCCACAGATTAAAAGTAATCCAGAATATTCATAATAAAAATATTCTATGATGAGAAAATCGCCACACAACATCCGTTTTTTAAATATCAGAAAAGTTAGCTGGTAGCTAATGCTTCCTCAAACCTTTGACTGCGATGTTTGGTATGTTTCCTTACATCGTTTTCTTACCTGCAAGACAAAACTGTCCGCATCTTTGTATGACGCTATTTGAGTCAGGGACAGCCGAAGAAGTCCCACAAGTGCTCCTTGCCTTTCAGCCAATGACACACAGAGTAGAGCGAGATTACACCTCATAGAGTCATGCTGTTATTGGTTAAGACCACATGGGCTGTTTGGCTTTGTAGCAAATGAAATAAGGTTTCAAACAAGGGTAGACATGGCTAGGTTGCATATTACACTGCTAAGATTGGATCAGTGCGCACAGATCGAAGCACATTACTAACAACGCGCCGATATTTTTGAAGTTTGGATGGTGATTTTGTTTTATTACAATGCCTAAGGCTGAAAAATTAAATGAAATACAGCTCAGAAAAGGCACTGGGATTTATTTTAGCTCGAAAAGCAGCAGTTTCACAATTTTTTTAATAGATTTTTATGTTATTTTAGGTTTATAGATGTTATATTTTGTTATATACACTGATTCGGGAAAAAAGTGTAAAAATACTTGCTTCATAAATGTTTTGTGACCATAAAAAGGCTTCAGTGTTATTCCATGGGTCAAATAGTTGAGTAAAAGCATATGGCACAATCTGGCACATTTGGAGAGGTTTGGAGATGCTGGTGACACCAAAAGTTCAAAGCTCCACAGCCCTGGAAGTGTTGCAGCTAGAGGTCTGAAATTTTCTCCATTTTTGGTTGACAGGATTTAGAACAAATGTAATACAATGAGACGTGCCTATTCTCAAGCATGTCATTATTACTGCTTTTCAAAAAAGTCCTATTATTTTCGAGAATAGAAAAAACAACATTGAGTCATGTTTGAACTGATGTAGCTTAGGCTGTGTTTTAGTCACACTATTTTCATTTATATTTTCAGGAACTAGAAGGTTATGGCCTTAAAATGATGTATCGCATGTAATTTTGCTTACAGTTCGTCAGTAATTCGCTTTTCCATTTTTGTATGCAAAATAGGCAAGGATTACTTCAACTTAAGTGGATGTTTACACTATGCTGAATCATACATATTCTGCTGTAAATGTAGAGGATTAAAAAAAAACAAAAAAAAAAACAGGATGATCTGAAAACAGGACAGAACAGTTGTTACTTGTTGCTGATTTTATTTCATGCACTTTTTATCTATTTTAAAAAGCTGCTTGTTCCACATGAAACGTTTCAGTCACATCAAAAATGCATCTTAATGTAATCTGTACTTTATGTACTGGACTAATGATTGAATTCGGCTCGGAGTTTAGATTCTAAATTTCAGCTGCTAATTGGTACAAAAACATTTTATAAACTCTATTGTCCTTCTTATCATTTCCATTTTTATTCGTACAGTATTTGCAATAGATAGAAGTGCCCCGCCTTCTATCCCATAAACGCTCTATGTTCTAAATCCTGTTAATCCGTCTGAGATGTTTCAAGTTTGTGATCATGCAATCAAATCTGCTGTAATGAGTTTAATTTAAGTAAAATGGTATAGATGTATTTTTGCCCTCAATTTTTTCTTAATTGTGGTGTTGAAGTAAATTCGGAGCATTTCCAATTAAAACCTTAGAAAGGTTTATGTAAGGCATAAAACAAGTGGATGAAGGCTGCCAAAATACAATATGCCTGTACTTTCAGCAGCAGTGTTCTTAATTGTCTGTGTGAAATGAAGCCCCTAAGCAGTTTTATAAGTAGTTTTTTTTATTTAGTGAAATTGTCTGCCTGATGATGTTGTATCCCTTCCCTTCAAGCTACTTAGGAACACAGTTAACTGCTGGAGTAAAGTGCCTTAGAGAACTGGCCATACCCCTAGATCTGTTCTTACATCTCATCACATTACAACTGCAAGTATGTATATAGATATATATATGCAGAAAATATATAAATCATGATAGAATAGAGAACATTGAGGATTGTAATTTTAATGTGCAAAGGTTCAAGGATTTATCAGAATTGATGTTGAGGTGACGTTAAAGTAAAGCTGTTCAATAAATGTGCCTTATTTTAGCAAGCTAGTGCTTTTGGTGTCAAGAAATGAAACCATTATGACTTAAAGTAGTTGTAAGTGGTTTAAACTAGTCCACCTGAGAAAACATTCCCAATATAAAGCAGCTCCTTCAGCTGAGTGAAATAACTAATATGGACTCAATATTCATTACAACAAATTGATTAAAAATACAACTTGGCAGACATAGAAGCAAAATCAAATCTGTAATAATGAATAAAAAACATTTGGTAGGGGCCTATGAGAAGCCTAGTCAGCCATTACTCCCTACTGCACTAGTGGTGTCCTTCAGCAAATATATTGGTTCAGAATTTGGCCATTTTAGCCCATGACTGTGACGGTGCATCACTTTCCACACTCTGTCAGGCAGATGTTACAAAAAAGTACCAGGGTCAGCAAAAGTGAGACTTAAACGCAGTGATATCTGTGTGAAACCTCTTTACAGATGACACATTGCCTTCAGCAAGGAAGAGAATAATAGGGAAGACATTTTGACACTCTGGAAGTTGCAAAACTGCAAAGAAAGACTGCTCCTGCAGAAATGTCTGACAGGGACTATGAGTAGATCCCAAAAGTTACTGAGATCTGATTAAATGTTCTTAGTGAGTTGAGCATTTATTATATCATGCCATTCACATTTCCATGTGATGGAAAACTTGAAGAACAGGACTGAGACATTGTAAGCAGAAATTCCCACGCAGCTTTGTTTGAAAAAAATCCAACTCATGACAGAAAGATGAATAATACCTTAAACTGTGAGAAACCTGAACCAATTAAATGCTGATATTGCCACTTTAGGCATTCTTTAGGACCTGAAGCTTCTGGCTGAAAAATAAAGCCCTCTGGGAGGAAAGCCATGAATTTTCACAGTT